TTTTCTTTTCCATTTAAATCTACATTTCACTTATTTAATATACAATTGAATTATTATTATTATTATTATTATTATTTTTTTATTTTTTTATTTTTTTTTTTGGGGGTAAGGAAAAACCTTTCCAACCAGATGCCCTTTGAACACGTGGCTACAACGTGTATCTCAAATATCTGGAATCAAAATAAAAGTGACTATTGTAAATTCTTATTTTTGTTACATTTATTTTGTATATCCTTCCTTCATTGTGGTTTAAGGTTGTTGCTAAAATAATAAATACTAAAAGTTGTGCAGATGAGTATGATTTTAGAATCTATGCCATTAAATATTAGTAAATTGCTTTTACAAACAAAATTAATTAAGCCAGTGTACTTGAAACAATAATAATAATATTACAGCCAAAAACTAAAATCTCAACTTTAAAACCATACCTGATTATGTTGTACATCTCTGAGTGACACTGTAGCTGCTGTCTAAAGACAAAATGGAAATAAAGTCGTTCTCTATTTTAAAAAGTACAGTTAATGGTTATTAGAGAATAATGTTAGACCACAATTATTTTCCCCATAATTTCTTTTTTGTTAGGGCTAATTTCATAAAACCCCAATCATTTTCAAATTTTGATCATAAATTTCCAACCTATTTTAGAAAATCTCTTACACTTTAAAAATTGATCAAATTGCCCCCGTGTCTGACCCGTTAACAGGGTTGTAAAATGACAGATTTGTTCTTACTTTTTAATGTTAAATTAAAAATTATTATTTTTAAATTACAAAAATACCATTTTCTTACTATTCATCTTCTTTATTTTTATTGTCGCCGGTAGGAAAAAGGTCAGCTGGTTACTACCGGAGTCTTTACTCAGGCGTTAAGTCACCGGTCTGAACAGAAAATTGGTTGCAGCACAATGCAGCGACCTGGAACCATGAATTGACCCAAATCACGCCAATCACGGACAAAATTCACAAATCACACAAATCACAAACAAAATTCAAAATAAATAATCATGGGTTTACGAAATCTTCGGTCGCAAGAAGACACATAGTAATACTTCAGTGTCGATCACGAGCGCTCTTCACCAATCCTCTCAATCGTCGTTGATGACGTCGAACTCCATCTTTCGTGCCCAGATCGAGGAAGAGCTGACACAAGTGTTCAATAAATTCAATGTAAACGACGACGGCAAGATCTCGTTGTTGGAGCTTAGCGCAATAATGGGAGCTCGGCGCAATAATTGGCAACTTGGGCAACGACACCACTATGGAGGAGTTGCACATGATGATCCGGAAGGTGGACGCTGACGGAGATGGGTTCGTCTACCTGAACTAGTTCCTCGAGCTGAACATGAAGGACATCGACTCCAGCGAGGTGCTGGAGAATCTGAAGGAGGTTTTCTCGGTGTTCAACATGGACAAAAACGGGTCGATCTCGGCAGAGAAGTCGCAGAACATGATGAAGAACATCGGCGATGTTCATAAAACCCCATCACTCGCTGATGGTGTGGTCTTTGGCAAAGACCACACCCTCCACTACAATTCCCTTGAACAATCACCAATTGTCAAAGCCAATTTGTTTGAAAACCCTAGACAAGTACTTGCTGAAAACCCTAACTCAGTTTGGATTCAGTCAACAATCTCACTAGCAACAAACCCAAATACACAAGTGAGAGTTTTAGAGAGAGAATTGAAGAAGAAGACTTAAGGGATATTTTTGTAATTTTAAAAATAATTTTTAATTTAACATTAAATAGTAAGGTCAAAATTTTCATTTTACATCCCGGTTAACAGACCGGATACTAACATTTGATCAATTTTTAAAGCGTTGTGGGTTTATGATCAAATTTAAAGTAGTGGGGTTTTATGGAATTAGCCATTTTTGTTATAGTGTGGAAGAGATTTTTTTTTTGTTGGATTATGTATTATGAAAAAGTTGAACTCTTATTTAATTTCCTTTTTATTGTTTTTATTTTTTTTTTAACAAACTTTTCTCAAATAGAAGCCAAACACCCTTAGGCTTCGTTTGGATTGGGGGATTTGGAGGGATAAGTGAGGGAAATGATAGGAAAGGATAAGGTTGACTGGGTTTGAATAGGTTAAAATGAGATAAAGGAAATTCTAGGGAATGATAGGGAGGGGTGGCTCATTATCCCTCCAAATATGAGGAGATAACAAAGCAAATAATAGTATTTAAGTAATATTTTCATAATTTCAAAATTGTCCTCAACATTTAAAAAGATATGATAATAATTTGATTTTTATCATTTCTTTTATTTTCTCTCCTCAATCTTATTCAAATAAGAATACTTGTATTTCTTTTCTTTCCTATCTGTCCAAACATGCATAAAGCTTATTATTATCCTATCATTTCCTTTTTTTTCTCTCATAAATAATACTATCATTTCCTTTCTTTTCTATCTTGCGTATCCAGATGGAGCCAAGAGAAACAGACTTATTTTTTCCCCTTTACCCTCAAGTCCATAATTGTTCATGTAACTAGGGGTAGCAATATTTGACACGACCCGAATACGATACGGGATAAGTGGGTTTGAATTTGGATTTAGCTTAATCATATTCGTATCATAACCATATCGACCTGAATTAACACGATAATTAAACATGTCGTCGTGTTTGTGTTTGACCTGTCAATCCATTTAAATAAACGTATCAGATAAACGTATCGTGTTCGTATAAAAAATGACTCAAACGTGTCATTTCGTATCATATCAAGTCTTGACCCATATATTAAACAGGTTACACATGTCGTGTTAAACGTGTCACCCGTATAATAATCGTGTCATATTCGTATTAGAATTTCTTAACACGAATAATAATCATGTCGGTGCAAGTCTAACACATATAACAAAATACATATACTCTAACAGGAGACAAACACGAATCGCGATCCAAACACATTTGTGTTACCAGTCTTATATTTATTTTACCCGTAGGTAATATGTGCACCAGTATGCATACACATTTTACAAAGTACAAATAAATATTGTCATATCATCCCTTAAGTTGTGTGTGTGTCTGTGTAACTAGTTGGGATGTAGACAGGCAAGCTATCCTGACAGGGTTCCAGAATGGGCCACAAATGGCCCCCTACTTTGTAGAGCTTTAATTCCGACAAATATTTGGCCCATTTGGGCCAGTCCTCGGTTTTGATCTTATCGCTTATCCAATCCATTGCCAGGTAGCTCTGGGCCCAGTACTTTTATATTGCTTTGAGCACTTCACTTCATAGGCTCATCATTCCCTAAGCAATTCTGTGCAGTTTCATATCATCTATGAAAATGAGGCTATATATATGATAAATTTTTATATGGTTCGGAATTGCATAGTTTTGGCCATTAACAATTCGATACGTAAATAAATATGTCAACTCTATTTAAATTTTTACTTATACGACGTGTTGTGAAAATGGTTGGGACCTTGTTGTCACGGAGCATGTAATTTTTTTTTTATGCATCGCACCTTGCACTAGTGTTAAGACACTTGAACAGAAAAGTTTGTAACAAAGTGGCATTGATACGAGTAAATATTTGTTCCACCTCCCAAAAACAGCTCAAAAGTGTCTTAATTTTAAAGAGCAAAGTTGTCCCCGGATTTTGGTACTACAAAAAAAAACTTTTTCAACTGGTCATAAAAAATTTATTTTTAAAAGCAGTTTTTGATCCTTGAATATTTTTTTTTTTTCTACAATGTTGAAAAGTTTGGTTCCCCATAACTGATAAATGTTTTTCAAGAAATTGATGTGTCTACAAAAAAAAGAAAATACCATACCACCGGTCAGTGGCCTAACGGTATCAGCCTCTTACTTTCCAAAGAGAGATCAAGGGTTCAAGTCTCAGTAGAAATATATGTGTGTGAGTACCAATTATGAAAAAAAAAAAAAAAAAAATACCATAATGATTTTTTCTTTTGTCTTTTTCTTTTTATTTTTTAATTAAAGTTCTTTTAATATTTTAATTTAGACTTTAAAATTATTTCTAGAAAACACCATAATGGTTCTTTGTTTCTGTTTTTTAATTAAAGTTCTTTTAGTCTTTTAATTTAGCTTTAAAACATGCATTGATTACAGAATGTCATAATATAGAAAATTTGAATAGCTTGCAAAAATGAAATCACTTTTATCGAGAGTTGCAATGAACTAAAATAGAGCTGATCTTTTAGTCTATTGTAGTTCGGCTCGTTCATATGTGGATTCAACTGACCCCGATGAGCTCAAAAGGCCAAGCACAGTGTAACAGCCCGGGCACAACATTTCCCTAACCGTGCTTAGCATGCTATGTTCTTGAACAATCTCTGATACCACTTGTAACGAGACAGATACTTATCATCCGACACAAAAACTTATACCGTTGAGTGGCTTAGCTCATCACTGTTTGGAAAAGCTTGAGCTAGGTATGGCTCACTTAATATAAAAAAAGAACCCAACTTCAATATCATTTCGGGCTAAGTTTGAGCTCATGTTCTTGAACCCACGAACCTACATAAATCCACATAAGCCAATATGTTCAAGATTATTCATTTCCACTCATACAAGCCTATGTTCTTGAGCCCAAGAACCTACATAAATCTATATAAGCGTATATATTTACAAACGTCGCCAATGTTTATTAACACATACAACTTACACAAGCACAGTGTTCACACTTCATGAGCATACACAAACCGGGCTTAACAATGTTCGGGATCAGTTCGTTTACTAGATGAATTCAAAAATCAAGCTTGAACTCACCTTATTTACTTAATGAACGAGCTCAACCTCTATGTTTAAACAAGCCAATCCCGAGCTTGTTCGTGCTCGACTCATTTGCACCCGACTCACCATGAGTAACATGTCACCTGCTGAAAGTCATGGATCACGAGTTCACACCACGATATTTTACTTGTAAATCAGTATTCGAACCACTCATGTACAAAGAATATATATATATATATATATAGAGGGAAAATAGTATGAATTACAACAGAACCATACATTGTAACAAGACATGTAGATTTAGGAAGAGAGACCACAATAATAAAATAATCTTTACCAACGTCAATGCTTATGTAGAAATAATGTGTGAAATTACAAAGACATCAAAAAACAAATATTTGAATCAACAGTCACTCTCTGACATACCAGATATACCAGGGCAAAAACACACAAGCACCATGTTAAGAAGAACCTTCAAGCTAGAGCATACATCACAATATTATTGTCCTCATAGGTATTTTATCTACATCAACTTGTATGCGTTACGACGCAACGCTCAAAATGCTAAACTTCAGTCCATGCAGATTAGAAGCCGTGGGCTTGCGATGCTGCACCTTGTAAAGTTTTGACGGCATTGACATAGCTTACAAAGCCCATAAACCAAAACTCGTGATTGTCAACAGAGATAATCTGGATATACTTCTCGGCAGAGTTCACTTTGCTTGTCGAAGGATTAACTGCTTTCAGCTGATGCAATGGTATGACCACCTATTTGTACATTGAAACTTATAAGAGATTAATGAAGATGATGAGTAGTAGATGTACATCTAGATGTGAAAAGGAGGCGCCAGTGCAAACGACTAAAATAAATTAAACAAAATTCTTCTTCCAGTTAATTAGAAGGGATCAGATTGAGCCAGTGGAAGGCGCAGAATAAAATGCACACCAAAATTAGAAAGCAAGGATCATACCAGAAAATATATAAGCTGCAAAATGGTATTTAACTAAATGTGGCAATAAATATGATGATGATAGCATCGATGTGATAACAGCAATGGTAAAACTATGGTCACATACTCCTAAGATACAAATGTGTAAAATGTTTTAGGAAACTAGTGCTACAAATATGATATAATGATAATGCACATTTAAGGCAATAAATTTATGCCCAAGGTTGGATCTGCATTTGTCAGTCAAGCTCGTGTTCGGCTCTATTCTGCTCATTTCATATGCTATCAGTATATTGATATATCTCTATATCTATACATATCTATGAGAGATATCTTTAAAATTGACTAGCCCTAGGTAATACTTAAAAGAGAGAACTCATCATGGCTGGGCTTTTCCAAATCTCATCGTGCCTTTTGCTCCTTTAGAACCTTCTCTCAATTGAATCCAACAAATGAGGGTAGGGCTTTACCTCTAGATTAAGAATTTTCAAGAGAAAATATTGGCTGATCTAAAAAGAAGGTGCGCGATGAGACGAGAGAAATGAGATCTTATTTAGACTCGTTTGTTTATTAATCTCTCTCGAATCTTTCCATATTGCAAAGTATTGTCCCTCTCTGTCTCACTTTTTCTCTATATTATCATCCCAAATTCCAAAACTATTGTATCTCATTCTCCTTGACTCACTCTGTTGTCTTTGCATATACCAAGACAACCATACCCTCCAATCCCACTCCTCCAAATATACAATTTATTTACCAAAAAAATTATCTGTGGATGACACCTAGCATAAGTTATAGTAATAAACAAGTATAGAGATATTAAAACTACAAGGGTTTGCCAGGATAACCCTATTTGCAGTTAGTGAGCCTATATAATGTAAGTCTAACCAAGATGAGCTTTGTCTTGCTCAAGCTTGCCTCGTTTATCAAACGAGCTTGAAAGGTTTGTTCGAGTTTGGCTCAAATAATAAACAAATGGGCCTAAACAAGCCCCTAGATGAGTGGAGTGAAATCTGTTCGTGAGCAGCTCGATTTATTTATAATCAAGCCTCTAGGATTTATTTATAATCACATTCACATTGCATGGCTAAGTAGATGGTTATCTAATCTACTTTGTGTTTGTCTAGCTGTAACAAAAACCACATAAATTCACCAAGAATGATGTGATTACTTAACAAGAGGGAAAAAAGAAAAAAGAGAGAGAGAGGGAGAGATGCATACATACGTTCACAAGTTTCTAGTAAAGAAGAAAATGTGATTACTGATGGACATTGGACAGATAAAACTATAAAATCAAAAAGGAGCACAGTCAAGAAACATTAAGTGCAACTAATATATTTAGTAATACTACTAAGGAGTAAGAGTACTAGCCTCTCCGCATGTGGAGATAAGGCTGCATCAAACTAAAGATAATTATGTAGTTTCAGTTTAATAATAACTGTCCAACCCTCCCTAGAATTAAGCTCTCTATATATCCATCCATCCATCCATCTCTCTCTATCTATCTATCCATCCATCTCTCTCTCTATATATATGTATACACATATATTTGGTTGTGTTTACATATAAACACTGAAAATACATCTCTCTCTCTCTCTCTATATATATATATATAAATATATATTGTATTTGCTTGTATGTATGTATACACACTGAAAATGCATCAGAGATTTCGATATCGCGATAATTTTTCATCTCCATCTACCTATATCTTCTTCCTTTTTCCATTTTATTGGATAGTTTGTTATGATAGACGCAGCGAGCCCAATAAAACAATCAAGAAACACGACAAAAAATACACACGCCACACAAAGATTTAGTGTGGTTCGACGTAAGTCGTGTCTATGTCCACGGTGAAGATCGGGGCGAAAAAATTCACTATGCGAAAATCCAGAGATTACAAGTTTCGGCCCCCAAAACCCTAGCTCTCGCTCTCTCTCTCTCTCTCTCTCTCTCTCTCTCTCTCTCTCTCTCTCTCTTTCTGCGATTTTCAGTCTCTCTCTATATCCCACTCTAAACCTTAAACGCCCTTATATACCCGCATACCCTTAGGCCCACACAAAGCTCAATCAATAGGTCGTCAAGTCGTAACCCGACACCAAATTCGGGCCACAACATCACAGGAGACATTAGGAATGGAGCCTCTAAAATTTTGAGAATTTAACCGAATAGCACCTATCAATTCCGCGACAACTAATTCACATGGATTATACATCCATAAGTACCAAAAGTTAAGGTGTGTATAAATATATATATAGTGAGATCACTGCTCACTAAACTTCAAAGGAGTTAGCAGTGACTAAAAGATGCACTGAATTGCCCTTCATAGAACACCTTTGTTTTGTCTACTTCAATGCATGTTCTATTGAAGCTTGAGCAAACAGCCTTTTTGACATTCAAATCTATAAAGTTCAATCTATAATCATTGCATATTCAGAATTCACAGTTCTCTATGTTGAGGCCCCTTTTGTAATTGGATCACTAGTACTATTCTTTCTCTTCACATTTTTCCTCAACTTTCCTTCTCGAGTATATACTACACGCCTCATATGGTCATAAAATGTTCCAGCTCTCAGACAGAAATCAGAAAATTTCCCCATATATTTCTTCCATTTAATGAGAAGGATGAAAGATATGGAGAATGCTGGAAGCACCAACTTACCTCCTGTGGCTGCAACTGAAGCCATGGCTGCAAAACCCCACCACACCCCAACATATGAATAATAATAAAAATAATAGCTTGTTTCTATTTTTTGAGTCAATTTATCACCCAACTAATCCTTTTCTAATATAGCAGTTAAATCACTGGAAACAATAAAATTACCCTAAAGCATATATTCACATCCCTCTAAGGACAAATCTCAAAACTCCAAAAGATGATTTGACAAGGAATGACTAAATAAGAAAATATTTTGCCTAGAGAAAGTTGTATCATCAATTTCTTAATCTCTATCATCAATCCAAAACAAAGGTTGAATTCTACAAAAATAGTTAGTTTGCAGCCAAAAATTAATCCCGTGAGGATCTTTTTCCTTTCTAAATTTGTTCATATTCCTATAACTCTAGCTACTAACAAATTTCAGAACTCCAAAACGAGATTTGATCACCAATTACTAATCAATAGATTATTAATGAAGAGGAATTCCCCTAAATCCATTAATAGTCATATGTAATAACAAATCTAAAGCTCCAAAAGATGGTCCGATCATCAAGGCCTAATAAACAAATCCTTTTCCACGAGAAAGATACATAATCATTTTTACAATCCATCAAGCATAAAATTCTACTAAAAAGAAAAGGATGGTTTTTATTCTAGATTATGCCCATGGACAATGATTTTCTTACCTTTGTAATTATGTTTTAAATTTAGTACAATCTTTCCTTTCTACGCAAATCTGAATTCAACGAAAATAGCGAATCTGAATTCAAATTGGTATGCAATAGATAAGGAGGGTTGGTTGAATAGATTACCCACACGTGCACTCTTTTTGGTTGAATAGACACCTACAAGGCAGCAAAAAATCATCTTATGCAAACCTTACCTGCAGTTCAGATCCTGCATGCTGAATTACAGTCCTAACATGCTGACTAAAAATACCCAATAGCTGAATTTTATCTCAATCCCAATTTATGCCATTCTCTATTTTCTTTGACCAATCAGCAATGACCAACTCACACTATGATTAAAAAGCAAAAGACAAGTAGGATAACTATCCCTTCTTTAGCCCCAAAACCCCAAAAATGTTTAATAGTGACTTAAATTTTAAGAAAAAGGAGCAAAAGACAAGTTATAATACTCTTTTTCTTTAAATTGCAAATCCCTGTGTTATTTAGAAATTCCAATTAAAGCCAACTTATTGAATCATATCACCCATATCCCTAAGAATTATATTAACAATGGCAAGGTCAGACAACAATGAAAGGGCAGTTCTATGTTAGCAAACAGCATAAGATCTTCTCTCAGATATAATCCAGGTTCATATTCAGTGTCAAATTCAAGGAGTGCAGAGTGCTATATTCAGAAGTAACATGACTTGGAAAACAGAACAGAATCCCTGAGCTTGACCCAATATGCTGAAAACATTCAAATAATATTAATGACGAAAATTTATATCGGGCATAACATATATATCGTTATGGCATTATAAGTTGTTCCTAAACTAGAAATTTAGATGTGCAATAGGAAGTACCTTGTAATAACTCCATTGAGTTTGATCACCAACTTTGTACGAGAGAGGGTTGTCACTACAAAAAGCAAGCTTTGCGGTTGACAAGTATAGAGTTCCCATAACTGGACCAGCAGATGTGGACAAGTAGCAAGCATATGAGTTCATAAGATTCTCCTCAGGAACAGTCTCAAATGTTTGTCGAAAGACTTTCTCATAACCACCTTCTGCAAGAATTTTCGTTCCCTGAGCAATCCTTCCAACAGCAGCATCAGCAAAACTGGGGCCCGTTTTCACTGATTCAAGAAATATACTTCATATGTCACAGGGGGGCTTACTAATCACATCTTGGCAAAGTAGTTGACAATAGTTGAGCATAAAATCAAATCTATTTTATATTTTGCATGGTATAGTACTACTAGTACTACAATTATCAAGATAAATAAAGAGAACTCGTAACAGCAAAACAAGTTATTCCATGAACAAGTATCCTTGTGTCCCACACAGGTACCCGGATCATGTAACATAGACAAAAATAATGGCTAGGGAAAAAATTAAAAAGATTTGACATGTGAATATCATTTTTCATTCCTCAAATTCATGCTACATCCTCTAGAATGTCCTATAAATGAATACCTATGGCATAATCCTAGGAAGCAAAAACACTTCCAAGAGAGAGTTGTGTCTACATCAACAAATGAATGAAACCAATACCTATTGCACACTCCCTAACACATGTCCTACACATTTTAAACATCAGTAATTTAATTATAGAAGTTACAGTTTTCACTACTACATCTTGGACATTTCTCAAACCAACAAATCTTGGATGTCAGATTACATTTTTCACTTGTGCAGGAAAAAAGAGTTATAATTGTAAAGAACAGTCAAGTCAGTGGCTAACATATTGTTAAAAAAATGACCATATATAAACACAAAACTAAGATACATAAATATGTATGTGTGTGTATGCATATACATGTATGACCATACACATATGGTATCTCGTTGCCATGTCCTGTTGTTTAAAAGATTTCCGTAATCAACCCATAGGTCAAATGAGTCCCCAGATTCCTTTCTTGACAAGAATTCTTTGTCCCAATACTCATGATTAATATTCAAAGACAATGAATTCAAACTTTATATTGCGAAAAAAAAAAAAATCCAGATCATTTCATTTCACAGGCATGGAATCCATGCACAGTCCGGAAAGTATATCTTATGAAGCACTCCAAGCTTTTAACCTTTAGCATATATACTTCATTTTCTGCACTTTTCTCAACTTTAATGTACTAAGTTTCCTAAAAAGGGTTGTGATTAGTAAACCAGGGCAATATGTCCTAAGCAGGGATCAATCACATGTAACCAAACAGAATAAGATGCAATTACGAAGAGATAAACAAATATGACATTATTCATTCCTTCTTTTTTTACTGATTCCTTTATACAGCCAAGGGAATTTAAAATTTTTTCAAAAAGCACATAGGTTCAATTTCCAAGGAATTTACTCAATAACTCAGGAGCATGAACACCAATTCCAGGTGATGTTTGAATAAATTAAATGTTCATTCAATTAAATATGTCTGATAACACAATTTGGATACCACTTAAAGGAATAATTCCACTTAAAATTTTAAGTAAATGAGACTACAATTATCACTAAACACTTGAAATTCAAACAAATAAAAGAAAAAAAAAATTTCAATCTATAAATTATCTCTATTTAAGAACTTCAGCTCTTTAAAAATTTCTAAGAAATTGATTCAATATTTGTAGACTACCGAAAGCAAAAACTCACAGTGTTGCCACATATTTCCTGCAAGATCCTCAGCCTTTTTGGTCGCCTCTGCCGCCGCCTTCCCCCACTTCCCAAGCGCATCCTTCACCGACTCCATCTTGACTAATCCAAAACAAAATCACCAACACATCAATTCATGCATCCCTACTAAATTTAAACGCCTAAATTCAAAAAAACTTCAAGAACAAATCAAAATCAGATCAGTCAACAACACACACACTTGAATTGAAGTCAACTGACACTCACGTTTCGCGGAAGACGTCGGCACCGGAGCCGGAGAGACGTAAGGGTTAGAGTCCGCCGGCATGGTGGTGGCAGCGTTTCCGGCGATCGGAGCAGCGGCTTCGTGAGGCGGAGCACCCGGATTGCTCGGAATATGTTGTGGCTGCTGCGTCGGCGGCGATTCGACGGGGACGCTGGTCCAATTCTCCGGCGGGGGAGCCACGTCGTTTGGATCGAGCTTCGGGTACGGGGCGTAGTCGGTGGAGTGGAGTTCGGAGTCGGACTTGTTTGGTTGGTGCGAGGTTTGATTCATTGTCTTCTTTGATCGATGTGAGAAATACAAGAACCAAAGAGATTGATATTCGCTAGAAGGTTCTGATTACTACGTTTGCTTCTTGTGGGTGAATTGAATCTTTGAATCCTCTGAAGTTGAGTGTTTGAAATTTGAAACTTGGGATATGAGACTATGAGAGAGGTTTTAAAATAAGCGGAGGTGAAAATGAAACCTACGGCACTGAACGCGTATAATTCGCGTAGGTATACCTTTTAAATACGCGGGTTCAGCATAGAATGATATGAATAAGGCTCCGTTTTGTTTTTTACGATTTTGAAAATCGTTTAACTTATTTGGACTGGGATAGTTTGATATAATAAAAACTCGTAATAATTTGGTGCGGGAGCGAAGTGGGCTATTTAGATAGACAAATTAGGTAAGTAATCTTATTTCATTAATATATATATTTCTCAATATATATATTAAGTACCCTATATAATCATATTAAAGTAATAAATAAATTTGATCAGAAGAAATGTTGCATGGTGAAGAACTGAAGATGAAGGGAGAATAAAAAGCAAATCTATTTCAATAATAAGTAAATAATGGTCTTAAACGGGACGAGGCGGGTACCGACGGGAGTAAAAATGTTAAACGGTTGCAGGAATAAGGTGGAAATGGACGGTGACGAGGTCGGAATTTTTAAACGATTACAAGAGCAAGAGATGGTACACCAGTCCAAACCCGCCCCTATTGCCATCCTTGCCTACAACAGGTTTTCACTTTTTACTCACTACCCATATTAAAGTTTGGGTTTGGTCTTTTCATAAAGTTTTGGTTACCTAATAAATAGGTGCAATTCAATAAGTTCAATTGTCCTTTAAAAAAAAAAAATGAGTACAACCGAGCTTTGTCCGAATATATTAACCCTCATTCACCCCCAAAGGTGTACAAAAAAATCCGTCTGAATCAAACTAAGTTAATGTTTCGATTCTAGTTGTTCAACGATTCAGTTCCAGTTCTGATTCTTAAATTAAACAACCGTTCCTTAACGGTTCAATTCTGATTGTAAGACCTTTAGAACCGAGCCGAATATGTATATATATAATATACATATTTTCTAATTATATAATTAAATTACTCACTAGTTATGTGTATTATCTCGTTAAAGTGTCAAAAAGAGAGTCACTATGTTAGACTTCTCATTAGTTATGTGTATTATCTCTTTTTGAAGTGTTAAAAGAGAGTCACTATGTTACTTCTAGACCTTGCTTGTAAGGTGGAGTCAGAAATTTAGTTTAGCGGGCAAAGTGTTAAAAAAAAAAAAAAAAAAAAAAAAATGGGAAACTCCTAGAACTCCTAGGTTTCGATCGACCCTTACTCTTATTGCAATCAAAGCTGACACAACTAAGATCGATCGAATGTGGTTAACAATGCTAATTGAGATCGAAGCTATCACAGTTGCGAATGATTCCATTTCTATCGTGACCAACACAAGCTACCTCTAAAAAAATATTTCAAGGGGCACTGCCGTGGACCCGACGAGTTGACTTGACAGCTCGAACCTCGACTAGGGTTCAGGAAACGACAACATAAACCGGGCTTGTGATTTAAACTCCACAACCTCAACATTTGGCAATCGCCTAAGAGAGAGGTTATTGATGATTAACTGTGTAAACATCTCATAACTGTGTAAACACGTTTTGAAAATTACGAGCACAGAAAACGTGCCAAGTGGAGATTATAGCCAAACTCGCAAAAATAAAAATAAAAATATTCACCGGATGTAAGATTATATACTTATATGATATATTTATTTCATAATCAAATTGATTTTCAAAGGAATTGGGAGTGGGTACACTCTTGTGGCTTATCGAGGTTCTCCTTTTTCTTTTTTCTGTTTGATCTTCTTTATATAGTGTTATCCCTGCTTAGCTTCTACAATTTTTTGAGTTTTAAAATTTACCTTAGAGAAACAGAAAAATAGATTTCAGGTTTGACTCAGATCACAGAATGACAATTAAAAACCCCCATGACATAATATTTTAATTTAACATTTTTTTAATAGCATGTTTCTCATCCTTCATAAATCATAATGACGTTGAAATTGGATTGCTTGGCTGGGAGTTTATTCCTTTCTTGGTAAAGATATTTTGTCACAGGTCTCTATTTCTTATCATCCAAATGGGGCTGAGAATTCCCAAAAAAATTTCGAACGGTAAGAGGATTCCCAAATTGCCAACAAAAAAATGAAAGGTTTCTATCAATACGAGTATACAATCCAAGATTTTCTGCACTACAATACTTATAAGAAAATCTTAAAAACCATATAGTAAATCAATATTTATCTAACTCTGAATCTGATTTATTTTTGGGAGTAGAACAAATTATAAGAGAATAATGATAGGGAATTCGGATGACTAATTTTATGTGAGTAATGGTTGATGTCATCGAACATCATGGACATTAATGACACCATGATGATGTCATCTTTCACCGACCTTAATGACATAAATCCGACTTTTGGACTCCAAATCATTGTCCATTATAAAATGAGTAAAAAATAAATAAAATTTATTGATCCAATTTGAAAGAACCACAACATCCCATACCAGAGGCATTCAAGTATGACAGCATTTAAGCATATTTGTTTTCCTAAGATAATGATGAACCTAAATGGAGACTATTTCTTGTTCTTCTTCCTTCATTGTTAGCACCTTTTGAATCTTTTCGAGAAAGCTTAGCATGATCTGCAAACTCTTCTCATCTGAAACAGAGAAAAAATAAATAAATACATAAACCACAATATACAAATTAATTAACTATATATTCTATGATAATATAGATTTGGAAAAATACCAAGTCTTGGTACTGTGTGGCCTTTAGGATGATGAATCACCACAGGGTCTACAAATGATTCCAACAGTTCAATTCCATATTGCTTTAGGAAGTCAGTCTCTCCTGTGACCAATACAAACACAGGTCTCAGTGAAACCATAAGGATTTAAAAGCCAACTACATCACATATGTTAGATTTTCTAATTAACCCACTCGTTAGTTGACCCGGACTCTCAAATAATTTGCAAACTCCCAATACATGCAATTGCCCTCAAATCAAAAGTTTAAATGTAGATTAAACAATAATTTATTTTGCTTGACAAAAATTGAGGATAAAATTAATCTATGTTTCATTTTCAAGGTATGGTACCCCAAACCTTTTTATTTTTTCCGAACTTCACAAGCAAAATGGTACTACAAGCCATTTTATTCTCCCTATAAATATGTCATCTAAACCCTTTTTTTTTAAAAGAAAAAAAGTTTGGTGCGAACTGGAAAGGAAGGAAGGGGGTGGAGAGATGATAAGAAGAACAAAAAGGATGAATGAGTCATTTTTCCCTATTCACAAATTTTTATCCTCCAAATATGAAGGAAAGACTAAAAAAGCTATCATAAAATTTTTGAAATTATTTAATTTTTTCTCATAATTAACACTTTAATTATTTTCCTTCTCTCTTGACAAACAAAAATAAGTTATTAATTGTCTCATTCTCTTCTCTTTCATCTAGACATGCATATATATATAGGCACATGTCACAACATATCATTCGAGTATGTTGAATTGTAATAAACTATATATATATATATATATATATATATAGACATGCATATATATAGACACATAAGACGGGAATACCTAAGAAGTGGACGGTGGGGCATTCCATCGGAGCCGAATATGCCTTGTCGGCGTGCGACGGTGATCTCAGCTTTGCCCCTCCAATAATTATTAGAAACTTTATTCTGGGAACCTTCGTCAATGCCAAACCCTGTGAATGCCAACCAACAACAACAACATGCCAGTCAATCCACCACCATTCAAATCTCCACTCTTCTGGGACCAAACAGCGAGTCAAACCAAGTTAGCTAATCAAATGTGTCCTAATCATTTTTGTCTCTATAATACAACTAAGGAAATTAAATTTTACTATTCCATACAACCAATCAACGGCTTCCACGTACCTTCGCCTGCAGTCCAGGAAGTGCAGCTGACAAAATTGCCCCCTGAATTTTCCACCACCACATTTCATTACCAATCAAAAATATTCAAACATATTATATTATAAAATTAATTGTTGTAAAATAAAAAATAATTAATGAAAATAAGCACCTGTGAGAACCCAAGAAGACCATCAAATGGTCCGTGCTTAATCATGTAGTCTTCTATGTATGCAAGACACTCATCAAAATTTGTGTATTCCGTAAATTCCTGAAATATCAAAAAAAAAAAAAAAATGATAGCGTCGGAGCTCTTAATCATATAATTCATTACCAAACACATGCAGTCATTTCGAACAATGGTGGAAAAAAATTTGACACCACGAAAATTCGAACTACCGACTCACCTTGTTGAATTGGAACCATTCGTAATAGGGAGGATCGAAGATTCCTTCGACGTCGGACTTGCCCTGTGACGGAAAGGGGGCGTCGGGGAAGACGAGATCGATGTTTTCGAGAGCTGATTGGGGCCATTTGGTGGTCACCTGTTTCTCCATTATTTCACCGCTGGTTCGAAATCCATGAAGGCACAGAAATCTGGGTTTCCTCTCAACTCTCTCTCCATTTTCATTACCCATTGCAGGCTAGCTACTACGGAGTAATTGACTTCCGTTTCCTCTTTCCTTTCCGTTTCCTCTTTCCTTCTTACTTTCAGACCTAGCTTCTCTGTTTCTGTTTCTCTCTATTATACCCACAGCTCTCCGCTTTTTTGGATGCTCTCGCGCAGTCACGCTAAAATTTATAGAGCGCGAGAGTTTCTTGTCTGATTTTCTCTCTCTTCGAGATTGTCGACTCTCTCTCTATTGTCCATATACTTATAGATATATATATATATATAGATAATGAATGGGATGATGGAAGGAGATGCGTCAGGCTTGTGAAGAATGTGATAATTGTGGAATGTGGACCGACGAAAAGCAACGGACCACAAAGTTTGGAGTTTCTAGGAACGAAAATGGTAGGTTCGGTCAACGGTAGTGATCCGCGGGTGTATCAGATAGTGTAAACATGAGTTGTACTACATCCACGCAGTGTGAGCGCGTTGGGTTGACTGCCCTTTTTTCCTAATAAAAAGTGCGTGTCCTCACGACACAGATTTGAATTTGGGAGAGACAGATCTGAATTTGGGTGACAGGGATTTTGAATTAGGGCATAAGATTTGACCAGGTTTTAAAAGGTTTAAAATTGATTTTAAAATAATTTGGGTTAAATTTTTTAATATTTGGGTTTAATTGTGGGTGGGTGAAACAAAATCAAGCTTAAATTTGGGTTAAGTAAGAGGGTATCTTGGCAAAATTTTGAACTGTATGAATTGCACTCACAGTGAGCTGGACTGACTCTGTCTCCATGTCAACCTTCTGATTTTTTTTTTTTTTAAAAGTCCAAAATCTTCTGAAATTATATTATTTTTAACTGTTCTTTTTTATATAGAAAATTCATAAATTTTGACTTTTGTAGGGTTTAAAACCAGATTCTTATGTCCTAAAAATTCCGACCATTTAATAGAATTTTAAAAATATGTACAATTTCTTTAAAATGTCAAAGATCAACTCCATATAAAAACAAAATAAATTTGTGAGTATCGAATAACAAATATATATATATATAAAGAAAAAGAAAGACTGAATTTTATAATTTTACTTTTTTTGCTACTCAACACATAACATTTTGGAGAATGGGAGGATATTAGATAGAGATTTGACATTAATTGTTGAGTCTGTATTATTTATTAAAAAAATTCTCTGTGTATAATAAATACTACTAAATACAAAAATATTTAACAAAACTGATTGCTACAATTAGTTTTTAAAGAAAAAAAAAAAAACTATATAATTTATTTTCGATAGGCTCACACACCATACTCTAAGACTCTACTTTTTATTTTATTTTAATTTTTTCTGGCAAATAAAACCATTCATTAATCAAATTAATACTGGAATTACAATCAACAACACCTCTAAAATAGCATGAGACAATATGTTCTCAATGTCCCTCATCAACAGAATTATGATCGACATTGGCAGCTAAATTCTTTAGGGAGGGTATCAAAAGCACAAAAAACTACTTGGTATAAAATCGATAGGAATTGTACCAAATTTTCATTTCGATTTGGTTATTTTATGATTCAATTTTGAATCCGAATTCAAAATAAGGAACTATTAATTTATTGTTTCGATTTCAAATTTATTAAAAGTGAACCAAAACATAAGCTAAATATATATATAACATATATTACACTAATATAACATATATTACACAAACATAATATGAAATCTAAAGGGTTAGTCTATTTAGAAAAGATTTGGACCATGATGTCAGAATTGAACATAGTTGGATCTTTATTCAATTACTGTAGAAACCTTTGCACAGGTCTAATGAATTAATCGGGACGGACAATCCGGTTATAAAAAAAAACATAAACCACAAACAAGTAATATGTTTTTTTTTTATATTACATACAAAGATAAGACTACTGACAAATAGTTTTTTCTTTCAATTTTTTAATTTGTTTCACAAAAATAGGAATGGACAATACTTAGATCAATATTTTATTATGAACAATACTTAGATTTATAATATCCTCACCTCTTATTTAGTCCAATAAAAATAAAATACGTCATCTTATAAAGAAAGAGAAAATAAACCCGATCCTACCCGAATGAGATCGGGTAAAGGAGGTTCAGTTTTCGCCTGGTTCTATCTCTTTTCGGCACCAACCTTCAGCCCTCTCTCTCCACCATCTTCTTCCTCTCAAGTTTCTGGTTCTGGACATCATCATTCAATTGCCAAGAATATTTGAAGGAGGTATGATCTTTTTCTTTTTCTTTTTCTTTTTTCACACATTTAGGATTTTTTTTTATTTTAGAAAAGGACTTCCCATGAACGATTATGTGTTAGATTTAAGGATTTACATGCATATTAACACAAAAACTATGTTCCTTGGTTTTGATAGCAGACTGAAACACCTTACCCGTGCTACCACAATATTACCACCTACCCTTCAGCTGCTTTGTGAACCCACACTATCTCGACTGCCACCTCCCCTAGATTGCTAATTTCATGTAAACATAATAGTGCACTATATTCGGTGCCTATTTAAAGAAAATGAATAGGTTCCTATAGGAATAATATAGCAAATTCTTGATTAATTGAGTTCCTTAATTTACAGGCGCTACACATCAACATAAAGAGCAAAAACAATGAGTTCCTATAGGAAGAAGACGGTGAATAGAGAGGGCTGAAGGTTGGTGCCGGAAAGAGAGAGAACAGACGTTGAACCCTCAAAAAAAAAAATAATAATAACTGAACCTTCTTTACTCGATCTCATTTGAATATGATCGATTTTCTGACTTATTTAACAAAAGATGATGTGTTTTATTTTAATTGGACTACATAATAAGTGAGAATATTATAAATTTTCACTGAAATCTAAGTATTGTCCTTTTATTATTTATTTTTAATCTATTATATAAACTTGCATTTGTTTTGATGAACGAAATCTTTCAAGTGGGTTATTGAGTTTTTTAAAATATATATATATGGTAAAAAAAACCATGGCTTGGAATCGAATTGATGCTCCGACAGTTTGCACACCACTATCAAAAACTACCAAAAGACACTTGATCAAATGTTTTTATATGTTTTATTTGATAGAAAGAAAGGAAAAGGAACTAAGAAAGGAAGGGGATTTTTTTTTTTTAAAGCGGTAGGAGAAAACAAGGAAAGAAAGGAAAGGTGAGATGAATCATTCTTTCTCTGTTATAAATTCTTTTATTCCAGATATAGGTTGAATAGATGAAAAAAAATTTAGAGCTATTATAGAAGTTTTGAGTTTTTATACTATCCCAAATTATATTAATTTTAAATTATAATATTTTACATAAAAAATCTAGAATTATTATAGAAGTTTTGAATTTTAATACTATGCTAAATTATATCAGTTTTAAATTACAATATTATACTATGTAAATTATACAATATTATAAATGGTAATATGCACAATTTTTTAAGAAATTTAATAAATTATGAATTTATTGTCTCACAATCTCTCAGAATATCCAATTCATCCAATTTTTCTCTCTCTGCCATTCAATATTTTTTTATTTTTTTATTTTTATTTTTTTTTATTTTCCTACTGAGGCATAAATAAATAAAATCGACAATTATATTTTCTTTTATCTCTCTTGGAATATACTCATCATTTTTAAAATCAATTTTTAATTAAAAATTCCATTTTAATTTTGATCCCCCTTGATGACTCTGAGTGTGACACGAACTTGAATAGGTTGAATAGATGAAAAAAAAAATTAGAGCTATTATAGAAGTTTTGAGTTTTAATACTATCCTAAATTATATTAATTTTAAATTATAATATTTTACATAAAAAATCTAGAATTATTATAGAAGTTTTGAATTTTAATACTATGCTAAATTATATCAATTTAAAATTACAATATTATACTATGTAAATTATACAATATTATAAATGGTAATATGCATAATTTTTTAAGAAATTTAATAAATTATGAATTTATTGTCTCACAATCTCTCAGAATATCCAATTCATCCAATTTTTCTCTCTCTGCCCTTCAATTTTTATTTATTTTTTATTTTCCTACTGAGGCATAAATAAATAAAATCGACAATTATATTTCTTATATCTCTCTTGGAATATACTCATCATTTTTAAAATCAACTTTTAATTAAAAAATTCCATTTTAATTTTGATCCTCCTTGATGACGCTGAGTGTGACACGAACTTGAATATGAATAGGTGGCAAGGATTCGTTGGTTCAAACAACTCACAATAAAAATATATATATAAATGAAAATAAGAGAAGCCGGAAGCTTCAAATTACCCACCAACTCCGCGTAACAGACAGCCACCTCCTCTGATTTCAAATTCGATCATCCGTCCTGTACGCTTCTTCCTTCTTTCTAGGGTTTCGTTCTTCGATTCTGAAGCTTTATCGTCTTCGATTTTCTTTCTCTTTCTTCAATGGCGACCAATTCGCACAGAGGCCGTGACTTTTACGGTGCTGCTTACAGATCCAGGTACTCTATACCTCTATCGGTTATGATTATTTCTCTTTTATGCTCTCTGTTTGATTCTCAACAATCTGAACATGAAGAAGAATCTTTAATATTTTCACGGAAAATTCAACCCTAACCTAATCAGATTCCTTTTTTTTTTTCGTTTTCTTTTCCCTACCTTTCATTAAACAAACTGTTAGTTTTTTTATGAATTCCTTCATGTTTCGTGCTCCTATATATGTGTGTATTATATAGATATAATTATGTTATGAATGTTTGTGTACGCAGAGAAGGGCTTAGCACGAGACCTGCGGCTATTTCTGATGAAATACAATTGCGGATTGATCCGATGCACGCGGATGTGGACGACGAGATTAGCGGTCTCCGTAAACAAGTTAGACAGCTCAGAAATGTAAGTGTTTTTTAATAAGATAATAGCTCAGAATTTAAGTTTGGCAAAAGTGTTAAGGTTCTCTATATATTTTATTCGAACTTGTAAATTTGACAAAATTGGGGCATGTATGACTGATCTTCATCTTGTGAAAGGAACCAAAATGTGGAGTTTGGATCACTGAATTTTCATTTAATTATTATTATTAGTTGCATATAAGTTGGATGTCTGTGTCATAAACTGTACAATAGTATTGGCTCTCGAAGTCACTTTTGAAGATCATTTTTATATCAAATGTGACCTACCATTGTACTTGCATGATAATATTTTGTCAACCTTTAAATTGAGTATTATTTATGAGTAAAAAACCCTTTAAACAGTGGTAGTCTATACGGAGTAGTTGTTTTATTTATCTATAGTTCAATTTTTAGTACCAAGATCAACCATCATATTGTTGGCTAGGATTTATTTGTACACTCTAGGAAGTTGGCTATCTTGGGATTAGACTGATATCAGCAATATTTCAAGTTTTCATAAACTAGCAATTTTGGCGATTCCTTCATGGCAATGTTAGTTTTTGGAGACAAGGCAGTAATTTGGAAAGCATGATTATAGACATGGACAACATGGTGATTTGTGGTCTTGAGGATATTGGGGTCAGTTGTGCCATTGTCCTTTGAGAGATTGTATTGAACGTATTTGAAGCCTTTTCAGGACATGAAAGTGAGTACCTTAGTTATGGTTTTGGAAGACATTTAGTGATGGGTTATTTAGTATAGCTGTGAATAATGAGAGCTTGGTGTATGTGTTCTGTTAGGAAATTATACTCAATACTAGTTCATAAGGAAGTGGAGGACGTGATGGTGAATAAATATTCCGTATTTGATTATGGATTCCAAGATTAGCAGGAATCAAACATTAGCGTTGCTTTTGCAAAACCTATGCTAAACCAGTTCTTCGAGGAATGATGTGGTGCCTAACTGCAAGACATTTACCGGAGCTACAGCTGTTTTGTTCCCCCAATTTTTTAGTATTTGAATGTTTTCTGGATCAATATAGTAGTTTTTTGTGATTAGTGGATTAGTGCCAACCGGGACTCAAAATATCAGAGGATTATGAATCTGATAGGTCAATCTAATGAGACTAATATGAGTTGTTGGTGAGTTGGACATGAATTGGACCTAGATCAGTCCTTATCAGGCAGATTGACCAAGGCTAGAAAATTTCCAGTGGACTTGGTATTGGCAGTCTATTGCGCAACATCTTTTGTCGCCTTCTGCAAAAGTTCAAAATGTCTATCTCATATTTATTTTCCTCCAAGCTATGTTATATGGACTTGGGTACGTGCGTCGGGTGTGGATATTTATCCACTAGTCAGTTGTGTCAAATCTCCAAACGAAAAGACACATGGACACTACTAAACATTCATATCAGTTAATTTTTTAATTTTATTTTCTAGTTAAAATAATGTCTTTATGCAACATAGTGTCCAACATTGGCATTTCACTCATTTTGAAGCAATAGTATAATAAAATTGTATTATTGCACATGTTTTTTTACTTATCAAAAAAAAATATTGGACATGTTTTTTTAGGTTCATGTCCAACCAAAAGTGTTGGACATATCCCATACCCATGTCCAAGCAATGTGGGTAGGACATGGGTACTTCACTTGCTATTCAAGAGTCCATGTAACGTAGCCTCCAAGTACCAATCACCCGCTTTTCCCTACAACCATTTATCTAAGAACTCTCCTCTCTACTATTACATATCTAATTATGAAATTGAATATTGTTCTGCTTAAATTACTCATGTCAGGATTAAAATGTCACAAAGCCTATGAGAGATGATTTGAGCATTTGAAATTTTTTTTGCCTGTATCACAGTTAGACTTTACAACTCATATCAATTAAAGTTTTTATTAGCACCACCTAATGCTCAGCAACAACAGTACAATGACATAGAAGAATATAGTAAATAAGAGGAGGATGTGGAAGATGACAACAACAACAGTCGCGTTAGCTAAATTGATTTTATTTAGTGTATGTTGCATCATTTGTGTGTTTTTGGACTGCATTGTTTATTTTTATGCAAAATTTTATGACATTGTAGCAAATTAGATTGACTACAGCTGTTCTAATCTTTTAATAAATGTTACTTGTTCTAAATACTTTTTTTTTTTGTTCCTTCAAAAATACTATTTTATTATATATTCATTTTTTTATTCTCATTATTTCAATTTTTTTTATTTTATTTTTTTAATTTTTTGTCTTCTCAAGTCTTTGTATTTTTTTGTATAGCCTTGTTCCTTAAGTCTTATATTATTGTTCTTATATATGCACGTTTACTCATTAGTCATATCACTATTCTTCTTTAGGAGATGCATTTACTATATTAGTTCTGCTACGCTCATGGATTTTTGTTTCTATATTTTCTGTTTTTTGAGCTCTAACTCGAGTACTGCTGCAGGTAGCTCAGGAGATAGAATCAGAAGCAAAGTTTCAGAATGATTTTATCAGTCAGCTGGTATATTATTAACTGTACCCTTCCTTACTTGTGAAATGTTTCAACTTTTGGTGAACATTTGTGGATATCATGAGTCCTGACATTAAGGGGATTAATTACCTCTCCTGCTGTGATTACTTTAACTACTTTAACTATAAAAACAAGAGAGTACGAATTTCCAGAAAGTACAACTCTATCGTATTGACATCTCAGTGGATGTACTGTGACTTGAGTGAATGTTCTTCATTACTTGTCACTTTGGATCTATGAAATACCAAAATTGTGATTGTAACTTGTCTGGTTGAGAACATTTTGCCTTCGTGGACCGTTCTACATTTTCTACAAGATTCTGTTATGAAATTAACACTTTGATTGTGATTTAAGTCTTTTTAGCTCCAGCTTACCAAAAACAAAAAGATTCACCTTAAAGTATGCTGCAAGAAAGTTTCATAGCTAGTGTTTTAGAAACATTATTGATCAGGAAGAGGGAGTCTCCTAACTGGGCCCAACTAGTGGAAAGTCATGTTTGAATTTCATTTTGCCTTGTTAAAGTGCTTTTTTTATTTTATTTTTTAAAAATCTGAATTAACAATAAAGGGCTTTTTTTGTATTCTTCAAATTTAGAGTGGCAGTAATTTCATTTTGCAGCAGTGATCAATTTATTTCTTGAGTTTTTGAGAAGTAACTAACAATTTGTTTGGCCCATTGTATACATTCGTTTAACGAGTCTTGTTTTTATGCATGTGTAGATTATTTTTTTCTAGGTTACGGTACTTTACAAGTAATCAGTTGATCCTAAGAACAGATGAACATGGCACTTTGTTTTCATCCCAAGGAAAAGGAATGACTCTGTACTGATCTTTTATGTTTTGTTGTTTGTAACAGCAAACGACGCTGATCAAAGCTCAAGCAGGGGTGAAGAACAACATGAGAAAATTGAATAAGAGCATCATCCAGCAGGGATCAAGCCATGTGATCCATGTGATTGGTTTCGCACTACTATGTTTTTTTGTGGTCTACATGTGGTCCAAATTTTCGAGAAGATGAGAACCAGCAGTCTTGCTGCCACACCAGAAGTATCCAAATTTTCGAGAAGATGAGAACTGGCAGTCTTGCTGCCACACCAAAAGTGCATTTTTAGTCTTCTGAGAATTTCTAATCTATTGTAAAGCCAGCCCCATGGCTTTATAAGTTGTAATGACGTCTTTTTAAAGTCTGATTTTAGTTTTCTTCATTTAATTTTGCGCAGAAAAAGAATGTTTACCTTGTGAGTAATGTTGATGTCTACTTTGTGAATATATATATATATATATATATATATATATATATATATATATATTGGGTAATTACGTTGTGAGTTATGGTCTTTATAAAGAAATGTCCCATTCATATTTAGGTTTGCTTGTTAGTTTGTACAATTTTGGCTCATGGCATTGGCAAATGAATATGCACATGGCATTCAAGCTGTGGCTTGGTAGTGCAACTCTTGGGGGTATTAAAGCGCTGTAGCTGACTGTGATGAAGAGAAAAATTGCAAAAATATTTATTAATTTCACAGCTTGCTAATCATAAGTTGTTCAGCCACTTTTTGGGACCCAAATTCTTTCCAGTGGACCACTAGGACGTGTTGCGCCCAATTTGTTACAGAAAAGGTTGGAATGTTTAGTAAAGATCCCAACTTTTTGTAACGTAGATCTGAACTGGACGGAACAGAATGTACTGTTCACAAGAGGGGATTTTCTTCCTCCTTTCAGATGTTAATGAGGTTTCTACCTGACCAACCTTGCCTTAGCTCAAAGAGGGGTATTGTGGATGTTGTTTCGGGATGGGTGGTCACCACTGCCATCTGCGTCGAGCATACTGGGGGTTAAACCTGTGTGCTCCAAGCATCCTTCCAGGAAGAGCACATTACAATGCTGTCTGGATGGAAGAGCATATTCATGTTCCTCGTCTGGGCTTCATGTGGAGATGTAGATAATTCCGGATTTCTTAACTCGGTGCAGGTCCTTTTTGAGTTGCACTCCAAGCTTATAGCCAAATTGATCATTAAACTTCAAGGTTTGACTTTTGCCAGACCGTGAATGAGGTTTGAGAAAATTATACACCAAAATAAAAAAATAATAATAAAAAATCATGTCTAGATTATTGTCTAACGCATGGACATGCTTAAAAGCTTTTCAGTAAATTTATCCTTCACAAGCTACCGAATGGAACCGATCCGGATTGTGAATACAAGCTTAATTTGAACACACTCTTAAAATTCATTAGAAACCCGAACTGAGCCTGAGCTATCGAGTCTAAAGACTACAATCTCTAGCTTGAGATCATCCATCACGCAAAAGAATCATAATCCCAAAAGGCACACATTCTTTCAGATTTTAACCTATTGTGGAATTTTAAGAGAGAATGAAGCAACACTGAATTTAACAAGGCAACAATGAATCAACTCATGTTACGCAGCCAGCACATCCTATTTACATATTTTGTACATCAATTTGTTAAGTTTATGCGATTATGACAATTATTAGGTTAAAACTGCATGACGATTAAACCAAATAAACACTGAATGTCAGCATCTAATTCTTTCTGTACAGTAAGGAACTAGCTTCCATCTTCTTTCTGTACATTAAGGAACTAGCTTCCATCTTGGGTTAAGGCATCAGCAGTGACTTATCATTCGACAGTTGAATAGGGCAGAGGGCAGAGGGCAGAGGGCAGAGGGCAGATTAATTTCGATCCCCAACTTAAAAACGCGCGGAGACGTTGGAAATTGTCAGTCGGTCAGATCTCATAATGTAGTAGGATCAGAAAGCTTTGCAAAGATCAGAAAACTCCCGTATTGGGCTAGTACGAGCACACAGCCTGCTCCTCTTCGGTTCAGAAATCCTCACTTGTGAAATTGCCACAGCAAGGGCATCAACCAATCCACAGTCATCCTGCTCTTCTGACTCGCAACCCAAATCATCAGGTGATAAAACTGAACTTGGGCCTTCATGCAGAGAACGACTGTCTATCCTGTTTCCAACCGATTCCATCGTGTTTAAAGGAGCTGGCAGCTGGGAGGATGGTCCTGATTGATTCTTCAACTTCGACTTAATAGACAGTGTCTTTAGTGTGCGCTCGGTATGGAATAAAATCCATGGATGTCCTGAAACAACAGCAAATTTCAATGTCGATTGAGTAGAGTAGGACCAGTAAACTTAAAAACAAATTGGAGTTCTATGTTAATGATTATGGTAATTTTTCCTTTGGGTAGGTTGAGTGTTCGAGCCCCGTTGGGAACAAAAATATATAGTTGGTGTGTGTTTGATTGAACTTTCGGAAAATAATAATACTAATAATTATTATAATAATTAAAATTCAAGAGATTACTCCAAAACACACACACACACACACTTGCACACTTCACTATTTCTGCACCAATAATGGCCACATCACATTTTCAACCCAAGTCTGAGAAAGGGGGCTGTCGATGCAGCCATTAAATTACAGAAATATTAGCCCTAACATGGTAAAAAAACTTTAGTGAATAGTAAGAATCGACATTGATAGCATTCAGAAGTTTAAAAGGGCGAATTGCACAAAACCCCTTTCAAATTTTTTCAATTGGCACAAAAAAACAAAAAACCTTGCCCTCTCAACTAACCAAAAACTCAGCTTGTTTTGTCATCGATCGTGTGTTTTGAGTTTGACGACGATGGAGATAATAAAGGGTTTATTGTTTTTGTGAGATTAAGACTAGGCATGATGTGAGAACAATGGTGAGGTAAAAAAATGAAAATTAAAAAACGATGTCGTTTTTGACAAATAAAAACTATTAGCCAACCAGACAATTTCACATTGGTCGAGATTAAGAAATACACCAAAACAACATCGTTAACAGGACATAGGTATTTTAGTAATTTTCATATTTCCATTAACGACCATTTACTTCCGTAACCCCCTCGTTAGTTTTCCGTTAATTGAAGGGTTTTTTTTTTTTTTTTGCCAATCGAAGAAAGTTGAGTCGGGTTTTGTACAATTCTCCCTATTTAAAAATAAAAAATGGATCACAGATGAGTAGGTGGGCAAGGAAATATTAAAAGCATATTCATCACCTTGGACATATTCGGATTAAATAAACACAGATTTAAATTTTCATAATTATTTCACAAATTACTCGATTATGTGAAAAGAAAGCAAGTAGTATCCAAATCAAAGTAAAGTCGCACCCAGTTTGAAAATCATTTAAGAGATTTGACTAGCATCAGAAGCTTACTTAATACTTCGTCTGCTGCTATCCTTCCAGCAACATCTCTTGTGAGCATTCGTTGAATCAAATCCCGGGCAGGTTTAGATACAGACTCCCAAATCCCTGTGTGGACATCTAGCTTCACATTTTTTATTGCCTCAAAAACTGCTTCAAGTGAGTCTCCTTGAAATGGGAGAACACCAACCAAGAGAGCATGTAGGAGGATGCCAGCACTCCAGATGTCAACCTTCTCAGAGTAATCTCCTAACAGAACCTCTGGTGCAACATAAGCCGGACTTCCAGCCAAACCAGCCAGCTTCTGACCTGCAATCAGTTTCATAAATCAGAAACAAAATAACTTACAAACAAAAGGAACATAACATAGATCCTCGAGAAGAGAAGGGTCATAATTCCAATTGAAAACCCCAGAGTATGCATAATGCAAGCAGATTGTTACGGACACATAGACGTGTTCTGTCTCACATCGGGAAGTAGTTGATAAATGGTGTTGGAAACCCACAAGTGACTTGTCCTTTTGGGTGTAAATTTGGTCCATTGGGACCATGTGGGTCGGGAAATATTATGTACATCCCCCTTGCGAGGATGCGAGGATCTGACCAGCTGAGCTTGTCACAGCTGCATAGATATGTTTTGTCACACATTGGATGCGTACAGGCAGTCTTTGGGTTAATAAATGGGGGTTGGAAACCCCACAAGTGACTAATCGTTTTGAGTTTAGAACTGGCCCATTGTGACAATAAGTTGCTTAGAGGCCAAATTTGTTCTTCAAATTCAATAAATATCTGAAGTTTGTTCAAAACATTTTAACAAACATTACTTATTTCAACATAAATTAGGAAACTAAAAGGATTATCTATATTATAGTAAAAATTCTCAAAACTTTTATCAAATGGGGTAGAGAAGATGAATACAAAGAAGAGGAGTAGGTTGAAAAACAAACACAATCAGCCATTGGAAATGCTACAATTTGGAAGCAAATTATACGTTGCCTACAACACTTGTATCATTCAAAATAAACTATCAAGCAATAAACACTAAAAGAATGATGACAAATATTTGTTTAACAAATTCAATTGTTGAACTAAAAGACTGACGCAAGTATTCAAGTGCATGCACAAAATGCATACACACTCAGACAAATTGCACCAAACTTCAAATTTTGAAAAGAAAATGTTTACTTCCTGAAGTATACGTAGCAACATTACCTTTATCAACTTTATAGCTGGTCATTACACAATATGCATGTACTTAAATTCATAAAGTCTGAAGGTCAGTTGTTGTTTAGTTCCAAAGAGAACCATCAATAGCAGTTAATGGGGGCAATGGAATACCAAATTGTTTTTTGTAGATAACCCAGCCTAATAATAAATCCTTACAAACTAAGCCACTTTCTGGTTTTTTAACACACCATCTCACAGAGATGAGAAAAAAGAAGATAAAATGTTTCAAGCTCTCAATTCCACCATATGGTTTGTCCAAAAAGGAGATAAACTACGGGGAGTAGAGTAATTCAGAGAAGAAACATCTCTCCAGGTTCACTAAATGACGAAAATAATCACCTCACAACTGAGGTTATTTGGAGTCTAGGAGAAGTACAGGATGGTCGTACAAGGAACAAACCCAACAAACTGATGAAAGTATCAAGCCTTTTCCATTTTATGCTCTCTTTCCTTCTAATCATTATTTCCTACTCACTTATCCCATTAAATTCTGAACCATACAGTGTGTAAGGCACTTAAATTTGACTTTCTTGGTGCGGAAACTTCTACTAGTTTTTACAGATTTAACTAAATAGTGGAAGCCTGATTGAATGAAGACCTAATACAACTCTTTGGACCAGGACATAGGCCATACGCAAACGGTGCAGGCCATAGCCCATCAAATTGAGGTTCCGTGAGTAATGAAATATCAAGCAATTTCCTTTTTATGCTCTCCTTTCTTCTCATCTTTATTTTCTACTTTCTTCTCCCGTTAAATGGTGCACCAAACAGTATGCAAGGCATTGCAAATTGCCTTCATTGATGCTGCAACTTCTAATTTTTACAGCCTTAACTTAATAGTGGAAGCCTGATTCAAAGGAGGGAGTCGAGCGACCAATAACTATCTATAAAACCAGGACAAAGACCATATGCCATTACAAGTGGCCCACGTCCCATCAAATTGAGGTGCTGTTAGTAGTGGATTGGGTACAGACCCAAAATCTAGCTTTATGTACGCAAATGGACTTTTCTTTCTCACTCGAAACCCATATTGTCAAACATAAGTCACATAACATTCAAGAGTTTTTACCATCTCAATCAGCAGTGGCACTTAAACAGTTTTCTTAAGATTTATTACTTGGATGAAATTTGGACTCTCTTCCTACTAAATCCCTTATAAGCCCAAACTATAGAAGTCAGATTCATTTTCTTAAGCTAACTAGAACCTTCTGAAACTTCAACCCTCCAAGGCTCCAACTCACATGAGCCTTAAAATTCCATCTTTGCCTCTTCCAAACAACAAAAAAGAAGAGAGAACAAAAAGAAAAGAAAAGAAAAGAAAAAAAAAAAAAAACTAGGAAATGAGGATCTTGAATATCAGGACAAGACGATTCCAAATTTTTAGGGGTAATGAAATGAGAATTTAGGGGTAGACCAGACCAATTGTTACACTTTCCCAAGTTAAAAGGATAGAAGATGCTGGGAATGGGTGTGTTTGAGAGAGAGAGAGAGAGAGAGGATATCCTGCTATCATCTTTATCTCTGGTGTGCCCCACCCTAATACCATCATGGATATACAGATAGAAGAAATTATGAAAAGTTTTCTTCTGTCACATAATGTGGTATAAAACAGCATGGTAAGAGAAGGGGACACAACTTCTCCAGTAACACACTTATTTGAAGAATTATAGCTTCTTAAATGATGGATTGAATTTGAGAATATAATAAAAAAGATCCGCAAGCTATTTCAAATTTATTTCAACATAAAATCAACTCAACTCTCAACAAAGCCTTTTTCCCAACTACTTGGATAATTAAGAATCAGTCAAGGAAAATCACCAACAAACATACTGGAAGTTTATACCCACATTGTCATAAAACTTTGCATTTCTACTTGCTCTTCCGTATATAATGGAAGACACTTCTACTTGAAATAACTTTTATCCACAAGATAGTAAAACATTGTATTGCTAGTTCCTCAGAAAAAAAAAATGGACAGGATACTTCTCCTAATTGAAAAAAACATAAATGCATTACCCAACATCAGACAGACATAAAGTCAGAAAGACAGAAACCGTGAAAAGCAACATTACAAAGATACAACCAAAAGCACAAAAAAATAATTATATGAATGAACAACACCAAATTAATTTGAAGCCAAGAATAGAAACTATTCATGATGCCAAAAACAATACATAACCACCTACGATGGGAAGGTAGGAAGCAAATACTCACTGCATAGACGCATTTAGTATATAAACCAACTTTAGCATGAACTTTAATATGCTTCTAAAAAGTATTGAGGATATCAAAGATGAGAAAAATTCATAATATGGTTGAAGACAGATGACAGATTTTTACCATTTGCAACCCTCATAGCTAAGCCAAAGTCAGCAAGCTTTATTTTCCCCGAAGCAGTGAGAAGAATATTCTCGGGCTTTACATCCCTATGTACAACCCCCATGTCATGGCAATACTTGATCACCAACATCAATTCCTTGAATATATTAGCAGCCCGATGCTCTGAATATCGACCCACTTTACCCATCTGATCAATCAACCGTCCACCCGAACACAACTCCATCACAAGATGAAAACATTCTGAATCCTCGTACACCGCCTCTAGTGTCACAATACCAGGATGGCCTGACAGGTGCTGCATGATTTCCACCTCACGGTGAACAGTCTCCTCTCCTTTACGCAGAGTCTTACAGGCTAATTCCATTCTGCTAACCCTACTCCGGCACAACCAAACCGACCCAAATTTACCTTTCCCAAGGGTGGCACCGGAAACATAGTCATCCTCAATCTTATTCTTCCTACCCATCTGCGTGGCGGCATCAATACACCCTATCTTCCTCTTCAAACCTCTCCCTGGCAAAACCAAGGACGAGGTTCCACACGCAGGAGCTGTTGCGGCAATCCCATTGAGCCTGGATTTACATGATCCAACATCCTCCTCACCAACTACATGTTCTTTACACCTCTTCTTCAATCTCGCAAAATCCTCTAAGGAATAATGAGACTTCAAGTTCGTCAACGAAGATCGTGAATCATGGATTGAATGTAAGATTTCTTTTTGGTTTGGGCACAAAATTTCACTTCCTTTTCTTTTCCTCCTCATCAATTCTACTATCCAAAATGCACAATTTTAGACTAACCCAACCCTAATTTATCAAAAAGCAACCGATCAACCAATTACGTTCTGTACTGCACTTCTAAAATTTGCCTTTTTTTCTTTAAACCTGAAATTGATCCACATATACTACATGATCAACATATAAATCAAGAACTGAAAGCTATATTAAACGATCGATGATCTACAAATAATTAAACAATCAAATAACTGTATGAAAATTAGGGCAAAAGATCGAACCTCTACAGTGCACAAAGTTGCGCGAATTGTACAGATATTGAAGCACGATAATAGCGTAATGTGAACAAAAAGATTGATTGACGAATGTAGCCGACGGAGAGAGAAAGCGAAGACCAAATCAGAAACCCTAGAAATCTCCAATGTCCAGCCTAGGGAAAAATGCAAATCGAGGAATAAAAAAAATGTGCTGAATATCGTAGTGTATGTGAACTGTAATATGGGATGGGGTTTATCAATTACAGACGTGTCTATTTAATATATATATATATAACTTTTAGCCAATATAATGAGTAACGTTGTTACGTTGCCAATAATTGCACCGATTGGTATTTTTTTTTTTTTTTTAATTCCGATAATTAATAATTACTGTCCAACAAGCTGTTATGAGAATAAAGTCTCTTTTCTATGATGCTATGAGAGAGCGAAAATAAACGAAAATTCAACATTTTCAAGTAAAAGAAAATTAAAAAATAAAATTATCCATATATATCTTTAAATCACACGATCTTTCTCGATAGATGTGTAATATTTTTACATTCCGTGAGTGCTTTTGCTTAAAGTCTCACGGCTTAATTTAATTATGTTGCTCTCACACTTTTGTTCTCGTTTTGATTCTCGACTCTGCTTCGGTTAAGATCTATTTTTTAATTTTTTTTGTCTCATTAATTAGTAATAAAAATCATTCGGCAATTTTATTTGTTTAAAATGTTGTTTTATAAAACTTAAAAATAAGTAATATTTTAAGTATTCAATTTAATAATTTTCAAATTTGTTTGATTTTGTCTAAATTTTAAGTGTTGAATATGCTCAGCATATTTGCTAAATATGTAAATAAGAAAGTCTAAAAGTGGTTCAAATTACAATTTTACCCTCAAAAACATGTACAGTAATAATTAAGAAAATGATGGCCTGTATCTCAAAATTTTTTGCTAAAAATATTATTTTTTAGGAATGTTTCATTTGGAAAAATGGAAGAAATTTGGATGGAAGGAAGACAAGAAAATATAAATGAAATATTTTTAGAAAATAGATCGTGTCATTCTTTTTTGGTTGGACGGAAGGAAGAGAAGATAATAAAATAATACCTTATTTTGTTTGTTATGAGTGAATAAAAGGAAAAGTGTTAATTATAAGAAAAGTTTAGTTAATTTAAAAATATTTATAAGTAAAATTTTGTAATTTAAAAACATTTATAATAGCCTTACCCTTTTTCCTTCTTATATTCCTTTGTATATTACGTCTATATTTGGGGAGATAAATAATTATAAAAAATAAATGATGACTCATGCATTATCTTTTATCTTCTCTCCTTACCATCTATGTACTAAACGAAATAAATTTGTTTCTTCATTCTTATCTTTCATCCACCCTCTTCTTTCATTTTTTTATTTATTATTTCTTACCAAACAGAACATAAAACATTTTTCAAACTATAATTATTAACATTGATTCAACAAACAAAATTTTCAAATTTGTTGATTGAATAAAGATTTCCTTAGTTTGTCACTTATAAAACAATTTTCATTAACTAAAAAAATAAAAAATTGTTTTTAAAAAAATGTAAACAACTACTTTAAAATCAAATATTTTTTAATTAATTTTTAATTTTTTTTTTTTTTTTTCAAAAACTATCAACCAAATAAATTTTGTATAAAATTCTTGATTTTCAGTTATTAAAAAATAAAAAACTGTTATAATAAAACTGGACAAAGCAAATTCTATTATTTTATAAACTTTATATTAATGGGTATTTTGTTATTATAACATTATTTTAATGGTGTGTAGTTTTTAAAATTTTCTTAATGCTCTATTTGAAAAAAAATAAATAAATAAGTAAGAAAACCTAAATTTTCTTAGATTGATATTAAGAGGCATTTTCCACGATATAACATTTATGCAACAGCAGCTTACCATCGTACGATTGACATAGCGCCACATCAGCAACTTAAATTTAAGAGTAAGACGACGCCGTTATAATAAGACCTAGCGTTAAGACACGGCATCCCAAACTGTCAAAATATTGTCTGGTTCTTTTTTCTCTTCCTTCCCCCAGCCCCAAATCTAGAGAGAGAAACAAATGGCGCATCACTGTGGCTTAAACCCTCCCAAAACCCTCAACACTAACTTCTCATCAATCAACAAATTCTTCGCTCCAATCTCATCATCTTCATCTCTCAAAACCACAAAAATAACATCTTTCAAGAAATTCCCCACAATCTCTGTGTCAGCAATGTCGAGCCAACAACAACAGCATCATCATCAACAACACCAACTCTCACTCGAAGCTTTAACCAGCAGTAACCGCAGAGACGAAGTCCTCGACGCTATCGGAAGCTCACTGTCTAACTGTCTCTCTGAAACAAATCTTCATCTCACGGTCCCTGGTCTCAAATCTAAAACCAGAGGCAAGGTAATTTCTCTGCTGACCCTAATCAATTCGCATGTATTTGTATTTTTATTGCAATAATTAAGACGTTGAAATTTATGTGTTTTGTTGTTAATGAAAATAAACTAGAAAAGCCTCCATTTCTATGAATTTGCATGTTGTTGTTGTTTTTTTATTGCAATAATTAAGACATTGAGATTTACGTTTTTTGTTTTTAATGAAATAAACTAGAAAAGACTCCATTTTTTTTTGAGGTTGAAATGAGATTTCTTTTTGTCTTTGCTCAATAAGAAAAATTATTATTTTTTTAAAAGAATTAATTTGAGTTAATCTTCATGTATTTTGTCGGAAACAAAATAGTGGGTTATTATTTTGGATGAAAATTGACCACTGGATTGGTTTTGAAGGTCAGAGATATATATGATGGTGGGGATTATCTTGTTTTGGTTACAACAGATCGGCAGAGCGCATTTGATAGGATTCTTGCTTCAATTCCATTTAAAGGGCAGGTAATTATCAGAAATCATCAGCAAACTAGAGACACCTTTGTTAAATACTGGACTGTTTTTATTGAACAGGGGATTAATATATAAGCATTGTGATTGAGATTTAATATGGTAGCTGAGGATTTTTGTTTTTTTATTTTTTGGTTTGATATTGGGTGTTCTTAAAGGTTCTCAATGAGACAAGTTCGTGGTGGTTCAATAAAACTCGGCATATTACACCAAATGCGGTAGTATCAACCCCGGATAAGAATGTTACAATTGCAAAGAAATGTTCGGTCTTTCCTGTTGAATTTGTTGGTGAGTTACTGCATCTGTATTCATTTTTTAAGTTATCATTTTCCTTACTATATTAAAATGTTTACCATTTGCACCAAGGAATATTTCACTTGCGAGTTGTGGCTAGAAAGAAATAGCATCTCATACATATATCTCTATCATTTTCTGCAGATATATCCTAATCAATGTTCCTGTTAAGAATATGGAAATATATTCTCTGTTTCCTTTAGAAATTTTAGTTGAACTCTAATGTTGATCCAGAGAAAACTGTATTAGTGCTGCAAAAGTAAATTGAAATGTTGATTTTATACCTACCTTAATATATTTTTTAATACTTCAATGTCTCTGTAGTCCATATTTGTTTGCTCCAGAAGATGGGTTGGCGTGAAACTGAATCCATATGATAATTTGTCTTTCACTTGTACTTTATGTCTGGAGTGAACAATTATTGATTACTTGACCTTTTGTTCAAATCTTGTATTATTATCGTTGATATTTTTTTTGCGAAGTGTGGGGTCTGTATGTGGTCATGCATGAGTTATTGCAAAATTTCAAGCGTTTTTTTTTTTTTTTTTTTTTTTTAAAATAAAAAAATTCCATTGCTTTTGAAGAAAAAATTAAATTATTTTATATTTATTTTTTCTTAAAAGTTCTTTTAATTTTCTCCTTTTTTTTTTTTAAAAAAAAGAGTTTGAAACTATTCAAGTTTGTATCAGGCTGGGGTGTCATGGTGATGGCTATGAGCTACCGAAAGAGCTGGAAAGTAAAACGAACCTCTCAAAAACTTCTCAATCAGTGAAGATGTCACACATTTTTATATTGGACAGGATTTATCTCTTACCCAATTCCCATAAATATGCAGTAATTCAAAGACTGCCAAATTATCTTTCCTCTATTTCATCTATGCAACAATTTTGATCCTGATTCATCGTTAGCACGGTATAACTGAGTGAGCTAGTACCTTCTCTTGCAATTGCCGTTGGGTTCTCCTAAAAGTCTCAATTCTATAATTTGGTAAAGAGAGAGGATTCTTCAGTTCTCACATCATTAGAACAGGCCAGGGGACTTATTCACTTAACTGTATACGTTGTTTAACTTAATTCAAGATGATACAAGAAAATAAAGGAATTTGGTAGTGAAATCCCTTAAGAAGAAAATGCTATAGGAAGGTACTTCCAATGTTTCTCAGTCTATCATTTTACAGGCACATTTATGTATTTTGTTATAGTTCAGCAAAATAATGGGATTATAATTATTATGGAAGATATAATTTTGGCTGATGTTACTCAATACTCATAAATAATTCTTGATGGTTAATATAATATGCATGTATTCCGAGTTTCTTGTGATGTGTCAACTTATTGTTCCTGTTGGCTGATTTGATTTTGTGTTAAATGAAAAAAGAAAACTTGTTACTTTTACATACGTGGCATAGTGAAATAGATCTCCTTATTGGAGTGTGGAAGCATATTAAGATCTGCGTATTAATTTTGGTGGTTATTTGTAGTCAGAGGTTATGTGACTGGAAGTACTGATACATCACTATGGACTGTCTACAATAAAGGCATCCGAAGTTACTGTGGCAACGTCCTCCCTGATGGTATGGCTGGAAATTGATGTATATATTATCTCGTATATTTTTTTCTGTAAATCTTTTCACTATTTAATGGTCTATATTAATATGTAATAGGCTTGGTGAAAAACCAAAAGTTACCTGCAAATATTATCACGCCAACAACTAAAGCTGCGGATCATGATGTTCCTGTCACTCCAGAAGAGGTTTGCTTGTCCTAATTTTCCTTTGCTTGTCCTAATTTTTTTTTCCCTAGGTTGTAGCTGAGTAGTTAGTTCTGTGTGACCATCCTACCTTTTCAATTTTAATGTTTCCAAAAGATGCTAATCGGATTACAGTTTTAGTTTCTCTACCCAAAAGGGAAGCAAATAAGGAGAATTATAATAAAGAAAAATTGAACGATGAGAGAAGATGAAGAAATACATTACCTATTGAAAGAGTAGTCAAGTGACTTATGATATTATTGATCAACTAGATAGATTTCATGGGATGAGCTACCTATCTTACCAGTATTGGAAAATTAATTCCCCCTCATGCCTTACCCCTATTCCCCTCATATCTTAATTTCTTCACTGTTTTGTTGTTCATACAAATTAGCTTCGGATTTCTTGTAGGAGTAACTGTAATATTCTACCTATAACTCAGCTACTTTGAACAGACTCCGCCCAATCCAAATGTACAAACTTATAATTTTCCACTTCAGTCGTGGACTTGTAAGCCAAATTAATACATGAATAACCACAAAAGGGTAAGAGATACTAGTTCAGAGCTTTTCTATTTAGGGGCAGTGCTAGATGTTGCAGATTTATTTATTTATTTTGAGTCGCTTAGGTGTCAGTTGGAGCATACTTACTTCATAGTGTTATCCTTTTCCAATTATCTACCCGCAATCATAACCCAATAATTTCATAGGGTAAAGTTTCAGTGATGAGAAGAATTCATCTCTTTTATGCCTTAGTTATAATCAGATACATCTAAGGTAATTTAAACTAATTTTAGATACTCTTTGTTTTGACCTTATTTCATCTACTTGACCGAATGACTTTCTTATGAATTATTTGTCTTTTCAGATAGTTAAACACGGGTTGATGACTCAGGCTGATTACAACGAAGCAAGTACAAAAGCATTAAGCTTATTCGAGTATGGGCAGGTGACTAATCTTGGGAAATTATATTCGGAGTACATCGATCAATATCGAGAAGTTTATTTTATAGCTTTTATTACTACCGTCAATCCAAATTTAATGAGCCATTCATATGGTAGTATCTTATTAAAAAAAGAAAGAAAAAAAAAAACATTTGGAAAAAAAGAGGACAAAGTGAGAATGCCAAAAATAATAAGGCAAAGCCCAAGTTTTTCTTGTTTGCTTAGATTTTTCAAAGCTATATGTATCATTACACACTGTACAAACTGATGTCCTGCAACTATTTATATGCTATGATGTTATTATAGCCTTTTTATTTCAATATGTATATGGAATATCTAACGGGAAATTCACCATAAACTAGACTCATGAACTTGGCTATTAGAGTATGCTTGCACATGATCTCTGACCTTCATACATGGTTATGTTTTAAGTGTATGTGTACAAGGAGGAATCACAGTAATAAAATTTAAGAAAAACGGGTTAATTGTTTTATTAATTGTTATTTTTTTAGCAAGAACATGATGTAGCTGTATTGCTATTAATTTTTTAAAAGCTAAATAGCTAATATAAGCAAGTTGTGCAAACTAAGTTGGATGCTGTGCATCAGCTGCATCAATAAGCGTCCATCGCAATCAATGTTGATTGAGAAAATGTGTTCCATTATTGGTTTTTTCTTTTATTTTATGAATTGCTACTCTTGGTCTCCATCCTATTTTCAGTTTTACGTAGTTTTTTTTTTCTTTTTATTAATTTTTTAATTTTTATGCTTGTGTGTGTGTGTGTGTGTGTGTGTGTGTCAATAACACCCAGTTAAGAATAGGTAACTTAGAAGAATATCACCTAATTTCTTCTGTTAATACATTTGTTGCTGTGTGCCATCTTCATTATCAATCCCCTTTCACTATTAATAATGATTGAACCATTTTCTTGTGCTGTATGCCTTTATTTTTCAGAACCCTAAGTTTGAATAGTTGACTTGTTACGTTTTAGTTATCACTTGTCAAGGGGCTTCTACTGTTAACTAATTTTGATTTCTAACGTTGCCTACTGTACCTGTTACATATTAATAGCCCCAGAATCAAGAACTTATTTATTTTTATTGTGCCTTACAGTTAAGGTTGGTAGATAACATCTCTTAGATTGGCCAATTTAACTAGCTTTGCTATGTAATTGAAATTGCAGCGTGTGGCTTTGGAGCATGGCTTGATATTAGTGGACACAAAGTATGAATTTGGAAAAGGAAGTGATGGTACAGTGCTCTTGCTTGATGAGGTTAGTTTCATATCACTGAATCAGGCCTGCATCACATCTCTCTCTCTCTCTCTCTCTCTGTCCTCCTTCTCCCTCATGGATGTATGTGAGCGCATATACTAGCAGTATCATGATGAGATTGACTTCCTGTCTGTCAAATTTAGGTGCATACACCTGACTCGAGCAGATATTGGATTGGCCGTTCTTATGAGGAATGCTTTCAGAATGGTCTTGAACCTGAAAATGTTGATAAGGTTCATTAATATTCTGTTGATTTTTGCTTGTTATCTCTTTTGCATGTATGTTAATGCATTCATTTTGTGCTAATGCCTCAAAAGGTGTGGGTGGCAACCTTAGATGAGAATGTTGCTTTTCTTCTTTATGGTCGTGTGGATGCATTCTTGTGTTATCTTCCAACTGTTCCATTTTTTAAATATAGAATTCTTGACATGCCTAACGGAGAATTGGGAATTTGCTGACTTCCTAAATAATTGAAATCTTTCTAGGAATTTTTGAGGTTGTGGTTCAAAGATCATTGCAATCCTTATGAAGATGAGGTAAACAAATTCTTCAATTGTGTTTTCTGTTGGTATTTCTTCATCTCATAGTCTACTTCAAATCTTACATGAAAATGCAATGTATAGGTCCTCCCTGATGCTCCTGAAGAACTTGTTTCTGAACTGGCTTGGCGGTATGTCTTCCATGTCATTTTTCTATTTAGTAAGGTCATACTAATGTTTTCATAGAAATGGAGTAAGATGGTAAAAATCTATGGTCGATGGCCTTTGTGCTAATGCTTCATTTCCCTAATTTTTTCCATTCATTACCTTTATACTTCTATGATATCTCCTCGAAGTATTACTCTATAATGTTCATACTTCCAACCATATTATCTATGGTTCATGTTTGAAGTTAGAGCAGCCCCATCAGATTTTATTTTCTCCTCATTTGGTCTTGCCTATTTTCTCTTTGCAATTGTGATTCCTTTTAATTGGTCTCGGTCTTGGTCTTTGATCTTTTTGAGATATTTTAGCCAGCATTTTGTTCGACATTAACATGCCATGGTGAATAAAAGTACCTTATAATTCAATGATGCTCCCTCTTATAAAGTTATAAGACACGTGTGTGTAACACACAAGGGTGCATTTTTCAATTATAGACTGTTCAGCTTTTTCCTCCAAGTTTGAAATGTTGTTAGGGCTTCTTTTTTCTCATGGTTTTCATTAAAGATGACTAAACCAAAGGAGAAAAAAATAAAATTTTAAGAGGTTGTACTGTACATCTAAGTGAATTAACTATTAGTAGAATGAAAGGCCGAATCTGTTTTGCAAGTTTGATAGTGCAATAACACTGAACCCCTCTCTCGCTCTCAACAAATAAGATTTCAAAGCCAACCATTGAGCAAATGTCTTTGTCTCATCACCAAGGGCTTAGCCCAAGTGGTATCCTCTCTTCCTTTCAAATGGAATCCTGGGGATTTGAGTCCCCAATGAGACAAATGTGCACGCGTGCATGACTTACCTACCAAAACAAAATGTCTTAGTCTTTGCAACGGCCCCACTAACCTTTTCTTTTATTTTATTTAGTTTTGATAAGTTTGCTAACTGCTTTTTATGATAGATTTTTTGAAACATCTTGCTCCCTATATTGTTTCACTTGTTCTTTTCTCTCGGCCAGATGTGAAGATACTATGTATGTAATGCAGAATTGACTTGGTGCCTAAATATGAAACAGCAGCAAGAACGAGAGAGAATAGAGTCAATAGACCTTTGTGTCTAGGTAGTCCCCAAGCAGAAGTGCAATCAAAATATTATAGAAAATTTTCAAGAATCATATTTCAGACCTAATTTGAGTAGCTTTTGTACAACGAATGCTACTTTGCTGAAATTTTTCATAAATGATATGGATTGTTCAACTCCCATCACTTAAAATGGAAGAAATGACTCTGCAACATCATTTTGGATGATTAGTTTATAAAAAATTCTGTATTTATTACTTTTTTTCTCTTAAGTTAGTATAAGAGGATTGGTTAAGCTTTTGTACATTGAAAATTTTAGGGTACTTCTGTTTCTAGATTTAAAAATCAAGCAAGAACATAATCACTATTATAAAATTTAATATTAATATAAAGAGTATCATTATTAATTTATTAGTAATATAATTTTATCCAATTTGGAGTTTACTTGTAACATTTTACTGCTTCTACTGCTTTTCCTCTGCATAAAAAATTTATGGAAGGGCTGGAGTTTGTTGGTAACTTTGTATCTTGTTAATCCATAGTTCCATCATGATTAAGGGTAGAATTTTCCTTTCATTTGCATCAAAACGGCTAATAGGTCCATTTGTTAGCGAGACCAAAACAGCAGACATGGATGTGAGTTGTTTCTATTGCGAACAATTGTGGAAAATTGCAAAAGATTGATACTTCGCATCGTTGTGAGAACAATCACACTGACCAGCAAAAGCTAATATCCATTTTTTCCAAAAAGGGGGAGATTAACTGCAATGCTTATTTCCTAATTGTTTTACTTTCTTCTTACTTTACTTGAACTTACAAAATGTTTACTTTGTGTACATTATATAGTCCTTCCCTTTATGTCATTGTGTTATGTTTGAAGAAAATATTTCAATATTACATGAAAAAATAGCTTTATGATTTTTAAACTTTTATTAGTGAAGGATGGGTTTACATTGTCTTAAAGTATTTCCATGCACTTATATTTTTTCTTCTCCTGCCATTTGCATTGCATTTCCAAAATGTTTTTTATTTTGAGCCATTGGAATGACACTCCAAAATGAAATTTGGGTTCTTGATTATAATGCTACTGTAGTTTTGTGATATGCAGAACTTCTTTTTTTTTTTTTTTTTTTTTCAACATTATAAGTAGGAAGTGCAAAAACGTGGTTTTAGAGGGGAACTTTGTCCTTGTGGAGAAGATTTTCCATCAAGAGTATTGTATGCCACAAAAGTAGATTTTCTTTTGGTTCTACCTTATGGTGGATTGGAGGAAAATTGTTCTTGTAACAGTGATATTCTCTCTTTTATTCATGAGGAATCCCTTTAGCTGATTTAATCTGGGTAGTGAAGTTCAAGTCTTTCAGAGGTGATACTTCTTGCTTGCAAATCTGATATGCCAGTTTCCCTTAAGCTTGTGTGTCTGCACACGTGTGCTTATATTGTTTCAACTGAGTTCTTATTTTATTCAATATTGCTATTCAAGGTTGTCTTGATTTAGCATGTCCTAAAAAAAAAGTTTGTTCGTACCTAGTGCACAAGGCTTCCATGTCAAGTAGGGTTTGGGAGATGTAGATGGTAGGCAGCCTTACCCCTATTTCTGGAGAGGCTGACTCCAGGACTTGAACCCGGCACCATTGCAAGGGGTGTATGAGCACTTGACCATCACGCCAGGTCCGACCACTCTTGATTCAGCATGTCCTGAAAAGCAATTTTTTCCCTCTGATTTTGGCCTTGTTTGTTTAAACTTATTGAAATTCTATTGAAGTTTTGTACCATTTGCATTCAGGTATAGCAGATAGCTCATTCATTCTTTATTGGCACTGATATTCCCCTTTGATGGCAGATACATTTTCTTGTTTGAGACGATTACAAAATCAAAATTTGAGATACCAATGTCGAAGGTAAACTTTGCATGAGATACCCCATCATTATATGATTATTGGTGATATAATATTGGTTTCTCCATGCAGGAGCCAATACATGATCGAATATCTCGAAACGTTTCACTGGCGTTGTCATCTCTACAGTAGTTCCATCGAAGTCAACTTATATTTTTGGTGTTCTATGGTGAAACTAGTGTGAGAAGTAGATACAAAATTTTACTGGCACTGCTATCTGAATTGCATTTTTGCTCGTGGGACAACTCTCAATGATGGAGTGGGTTTAACCAGGCCGGATTATTCTTAAACTAGCATACCTTTTGTACATTAAGTTGCACCACGAGTGACTGTGTCTTTCATGTTTATTAGCAGATGATGGTCTAATTGCTGCGCGTGTAACCAATAAATAGTGTCGGTAGATTTAAATTATCAATTTCTCATCTGTTGTTTGCAGTTAATCATGAGCGCTACAATTCTTGTTAAATTTTGCCTCCCAAATGTAGTGGTGAGATCCTTCCTTCCTTTGTTTCTTCTTCTCTTTGTCAACTTTGGATCAATGGTTATGTGCTTAGGTGCTAATAGAGAACAAATGACGATAACCGTGGGTCTATAATGCGACATTTGAGCAACGTGTATGGCATTTTTCTCAAAAACTTGTCATGCTGCTAGGATTTGGGCAGTGTTTTTTTTGATCCAGCAGATTTTCAAGCGAAGAAGAGAAAGTGGAACACGGTTTAGAACAGCTTTACTGTCCCTTCGTCCCTTCCTAGTACATTTTGGTGGCTTGGTCGTCATGATCTCATTCCCTAATTCAGTCTCACCACATGTTTACAAAACCATAGGTGTTTAGGCTTCTCCATGATACCAGCATGGGAACAACAAGGTTATCCGGTATCGCCTGGTATATATTTTGATACATGTATATATTTGTACGTATATTTCGTTTACCTAAAAGCTGTATTTGGATTAAATGAATGGGCAATTGAGTTAAAACAAGTGCTCTGTTTGTGATACAATGGACCAAGTTGTGAACTGCTATAGAGTAGTCATTAAGAAGCCAGAAATGCACCTGACTCGGTTGTCCTGGCTTGCGCATTTTAAGATCTCTGAATGGTAGAATTCTCATCAACCATGCATTTGAATGAGATACCCTCAAACAATTCTTCAGGGCAACATAGTGAAACCTCTTCTTTCATTGCGAGTTTGTTTCCCCTATTTGGAGATTCATTCAAGACAAAGTACAGGTTTTATACAATAAGTAAACAATTGGAAGAAATTTGTATTTTGGACACGCAAATGCTAGAACCAAAAAACCCTAGGATTGGGATTTGTCGATTAACTCTAGCGTCAATGGTCTACAACATTTGACAGGAAATGAATAACAGGGGAATTCACCTTCCTCACAATCTACTGATTGTGGACTCTGTTGTCAATACTCAGCGATCGTTGAAAATGGACATCTTTATAGAGCCTGCAAGGGAATGGTCCTCTTCTCCAACCAACAATCGTTGCCTCTAAAGTCTAGACTGAATGGTTTGGCGAGAATTTACTCTCCCTCGTCGCAGATTGGGCATTAATGGCCTTGAAACTGTAATTAGTTGGACTAGCCATTCATAATTGGTATGCTTATTAACGGATATTTCAAACTCATGTCCATTGGGTTGGGTATATATTGGGCCTGAAGCTGGTCTTCTTGTACTATGTTTAGATATAGTTATGCTACTATGCTTGTGCTGTCACTTTAAGGCTTTTTAGCCCACCTTGGCCACCATTTACATATATATATATATATATATATAGATTTGCTTGACAGTTCGAATTTTATTTATTATTATTTTTAAGTTAAAAGGAAGAACTTTTAAATTTCATATTAACACTTTGCAACTATTCAAAATAAGTTAGATACTGTATTATAAAGTAATATTATTATTTTAAAGAAAAATTGCAATACGTTTCTCAAATTGTCCCCAAGCTGACACAGGGAAGAAGAAAGAATAAAGAAAGGATGTCACTACTTGATGCGTTTGAATTGTACACGTCGTCGTTTCTCTGACCAGTAAAAAATAAGCAACAGTGTGAGAATCTCTGTTGATTCCAAAACCCTTCCTGCAAGACAACGGTTACATAAAACCCTAAATCCCAAATCAAGACTTTGTCGCTCGGGAGTTTTTATTCTAACACCGAATCATCATCTGTTCATGATTTGACTGATGGTTCTTCAATTGGAGCCCTAATTGAATTACATCTCACATTTTCGACTTCAAATGGGCAGATTCAGATGGTTGGCAATAAGCTCTAAGCCTTTGTTGCAAAATTGGATGGTAAATTTAAGAATCATTTGTATTGATCTGATTAGGTTCCAGAAAATGTTTAATTAATTCAACGTATTCATTGCAGTGTCGGCGACATTTGCCGTCTCCTGCCGCTCTGGAATCATCATTTTATCGAGCACACTTGGACAGGAGAATTTCAACGCTTTACCATCGGAGTAAGCAACTGTTCACTATACTCAAGCTCACACACACACACACACACACACATATAGGTTATCATATGCATATTTGAAATACTATAATGTTGGTATTTTTCAGTAATTTTTATTAGTGGCAATTTGGCCTTCAATTATTAGTTCAATGTATTATCTATTAATAAAACACCGATAACCTAAAGCTATAATATTATCTTAATTCTTACGGGAAAAAAAGAGCCAGAGTATGGTTATATCTGTGCTTGTGTTTGACACATTACACATTTTGGAAACCAACAAACTCCACACTCTTCAATAAAAGTCTTATAGAGCTCAAACATATAATAGTCTTAGAAATAATATTATGAACATACGTCAAAGTATCCAACCTCTTTTTCTTTTTTCAAAAAAAATTGACAATATGCACATACCATAGCATCTAATGACACTTTATTTATTTATTTATTATTTTTATAGATGACAAAAATACAATTAGAATGACGAGGTAGGAGAGTAATTGAATATATAATATATTTTGATGACATTTGCATAGATCTTCTAACTTATGTAACTTTAATATAGAAATTATAAATTAATTAAAAGTTTTATTATTGTCTTATTCAATGGACATAAATAAAAATTTATATTTATATTAGTTGTGTCCACGATGTGTCCAAATTATATTTTTAGGATTTGACATATCGTCGTATCCGTATCGTATAGTGTCAGTGTCAATGCTACTTAGCTTGCCGAATTCTCTCTCTCTCTAAACGTGACAATTATATCAATTTGGTTGAGAAAAAAAAAGTGAGAATACACACACAAAAAAGAAAAAAAAAAAAAAAGAAATGAAAAGAGAAGAAAGGTTTTGACTTGACTATTATGACACTATGGGCTGTTTACTGTTGTGAATTATTAATGAATGGTTGTAATGTTCTGTACTGCCCTCTGGCAATACTGTTGGTCCACTACATAACGGCCGTTATGCTTATGGGTGATCTGTATTACAATGTGTCAAATATAAATGAGTTGTATTGCGTAAAGTAAAGCACTTAGGGCCCGTTTGACAACCGTTTCTATTATGCGTTTTTGATTTCATATGAAGCAGAAACAATTTTTGTTGTGCTGTGTTTTATTTCGAAAAAAAAGCATGTTTAGTAATGAAAATTTATTGCACAATGTTTTAAGCAAAAAATGAAAAAAAGTTTGGATAATTGTAAAAAATATGTGATAACATTATATTACCTTTTGAAAGAAAGATCTCTACAGACGTTTGGCTACAATAGAAAAACACTTGAAAACATCTTTTTGTGTTTTTGTTTTTGTTGTTATTCTTCTTCTTCTTCTTCTTCTTCTTCTTCTTCTTCTTCTTCTTCTTCTTCTTCTTCCAGATTTGGGCCATTTTTTGAAGCAGATGTGGTACTGTGTCAAATGTAACAAACATTACCAAACACACTTCTACCACTTTTTTCTGTTTTTATTTTTATTTTTTTTAAACGTATTTGGCAACTAAAAACACGAAACAAAAACGTTGCCTAACATGCCATTACAATAATCCATTTTGTACTATATTTATAACTCACTAATGCTGTGTATGCGCTTCTTTTCTCAGCTTTGTACAGTTGCAGTTTTGTAGGAAGGCCTGCTGATATTGCAACCACAGGAATGCCACAAATGAAGTGTTTTATACATTCTACAGGTTTCGATTTTCCAAACATAAAGGCACTTGTTTTTCATATGAATTCCATTATGATTATCATAGCCTTTTTATTATAATTATTAATATTTGTACTATTTTCTTACAATTATTACTACTACCATCACTTCAAATTCTGAGATTACTAGCTTGTATTCAACTATTTATATGCTTCCTAGTTAATTGATTTGTTTCCAGGATTTTGTTACTCTATTACTCTTTTTTTACTGTTATTACTACTACCATCACTACAAGTTCTGAGATTACCAGCTTATGTTCTACTATTTATATGCTCCTTAGTTAATTGATTTGTTTCCAGGCTTTTGTTACTCCATGGAACGAGATTACTATGAAATTCTTGGTATTTCTAAAGATGCCAGCCGAGATGAGATTAAGAAGGCTTTTCACGAGGTGAGTATATGTTAGTGTTTCTAACTGGACCGTCCTTTAATCTTTTTCCTGGGTTCCTTTATATATAAAATATTTATTATTATTATTATTTTTTGAGTATATTCTTTATATCTGTATCATTTTAGGGTTGCTAGTATGCTACAGTATATATTTATTTTTTGTAGGAAGCTTTTACGTTTTGCTTACGATCACATGTGTTGTTGCATTAGTAAATGTATAACTATTACATGATGTTTTGGGAAGATAACTATTACGTGATGTTCTGAGATCATCTCATACAAAACTTTGGTCAATTCAATCAAGCTTTTACATAGTGCTCTGTATGGAAAATCTTCTGATAGCCAATGCCATCGAATGACCATTGTGATACCTGGTGGTTCTTTTTGGGAGAGAGAACTTGCTCGTTTTGGGGTCTTGGGCTCTAGTGAGAGGGTGAGAAAATCCTTAGTCTTGTGAAAGTGGAATGCATCGCTCAACAGTTGCAGGATATCTCAAATATATTTTAGATTGCGGTGGATCAATCAGCTCCAAAAGGAGCTTCTTACATTCCTCCCCTTTTTATCCAATAGAGGAAATGAACTAATGAAAACAAATTTCTCTCTATCACTTAAACATCAAAATGCCTCCCTTATACTGGTTTATTTTAATTGTCTCTTTCGTATCTAAAGGGCTCATCACCTTTTACAGATTTTGTAGTGGAAGAACTGAACTGAGTGCAGAACAAGCCGCTGCAAGAAGCCACTCGGAATATTTTAGATTGCTATGTAAGCTTCATAGATAATTGTAATTGAAATGGAGAAATCATACTCAATGATAAATAGGGAACAACGTATGATGACTGGATGACATGAGCTAAATGCTTTTAACACTACACTCAATGAGTTCTTGTTTAATCCATTTCCAAATGTTTGAATCTCTTAAAATCACAATAACTCAAAGTAAAGAAAGTATAGTGTTTAAATATAAATCATAGAAACCCAAATTCCCTATAGCTAAAATCTTTTTCTTGGTAAGTGGAATGCCTAAAATCTTTATGTCCCATATGGATGGGTCAGCCACATGAATTCTCTTTTTTCCATTCTTTCCTATTATACACTTATGTGGTATGAGGAATATTTTTGATTTAGCTTTGATTCATGTTGAAATTGGGTTAGATTGCAGAACAGTGTGATTATATATATATTTTATTTATTTATATTGATAAAAGTAGCATTTCATTAAAAAAGCGCTCAAGAGGGGAGCGCACCCAAGGAACAAAATATACAAAAAAGAATAGCTATAGGTTCAAGCTATCTACATATTCCAAAAGACGACCCACGGATTCACAATTTTGCCTGTTAACCCAAAAGAATAAAGAACTCAGAATAGTATATTTAAGATGAGATCAAATAGGAGTTTCCTCCCCGTCAAAAACTCCTATTCCTTTCTCTCCACAAACCAACCATAAACAAAGTGGAGTGATTCTCCAAGCATGTCGGGCTTGGCTACCAGTATGTACCCTCTCCAAGCCTCTATTGTATCCACCGTGGAACCAGAAAGAACCCAACAAACTCCAAAGATAGCAGAGAACATGGCCCAGACATCACGCCCCACAATGCAACGCGAAAGGAGATGCAAAAGGTGTGACTATTTGATTTGGGCATTTGGTAATTAACAGTTTTGGTTCGGCTAGTTAACATGCATGAGCATTGGCAAAACAGGCATAAACCAGGTTGAATGTTGCTAGTCAACCTTGGCTTGAGCTGAAACATCAGATGGTTAGTTTGGCTTGACTTTATTTTACCCTTTGTAATTAATGTAGTTCTTTCATCTAATTCTGTCTTTTCATGCGAGTTTGTTTTCAATGTGGTGTGTGTTAGGCCTACATAAACTTTCTGTTGCAGTATGTTGAAGCTTCTGAATATATATGTGTGTATATATATATATATATATATATATATATATATTTATATTTATATACATATATTAATTAAACATTGTTTTCTTGGTAAAGCTAATTGTAAAAAGAACCAAATTGTATCATTACTGTGCTGTCACCTTATATTGATGGGTACAATTAGTAGTTTATAGCATTTATTGAACTGCTGTTTTTTTCTCTGAATAGCAACCCAGTTTCATAGTTTTCATCACTAGATAAAGGTGAAATTAAAAGTAAACTTGTTGATGAGAGAACAAGGATTGCTTAGTCAATGATGTCAAATAGAATTGGTAACAACCTGCAAGTCTTACATGACATGTATTTATTACCAGTTGAAAAGGCTAATGTTCTTTTTCTTTTTCTTTTTCGTTTTTGGGAAATATCCGTGATTTCCTGCAGTAATTAATTTTCAAGGTTCTAACTTTTATAGCATTTATTGCAGCTTGCTAAGAAGTACCATCCAGATGCAAATAAGAATAATCCTTCTGCAAAGAGGAAATTTCAACAAATAAGGGAAGCTTATGAGGTTTGTGATCCATGTTTTGAATAGTCTTTGTTTTTACTTTCCGATTTTAGAGCCTGCTCACATAGTATCACAATCTTTACAATCTAAAGATTGTGAATAATTTTGCTCTTATATTTCTTTATATGATAATTCCATGCTTCCCTCTGTCGTGAATGTTGAATTTCAGACTTTGAAAGATTCTGAAAAGAGAGGAAAATATGACTGGGTAACAACTCTTCTCATTGTACTATTGTGAATTACAATCTTGTCATTTACATTGCCCCATTTCCTCCTCCCCCTTTCTTCTGCATTCGAATTTGAGGGTTGTAAATTTTAATCAGTAAAAACTTGAAAAATTGCTGCCCCTCAATGTATGTTCCTTCAATTAATGTTTCCAAACTCACTGAGTTATTTTCTTCATCTGTTTGCCAAATGAAGGAGCACTCCAGAGGTCCAGAGGATGTGAAATATGCCACTGGAGATGCAGAGGGGTTTAGATATGCTCATAGAACTCATTTCTCAGAATCATTCCATAAAATTTTCTCTGAGGTATTCTTGTTTTCATCTTCCATGTTAAAATTTCTGTACTGATCTAATTATAAAATACTGAAATCTTCTTTTTTTCCTAGGCTACTGAAATATTCAATGTATTAACAATTTTTTTGATCCTTACAGATCTTTGAAAACGAGACTGGAAATTTTGCAACTGATATTCAGGTACCTTGTGCCTCTGGCCACCACATCACATGAGATTGATTTTCACGATATGTTGGATGAGATTATTTTCTCTAAGGCGCTTGTGCAATATATTGTTTTGGATCTTATAGGTGGAGTTATCCCTTTCTTTTTCTGAAGCTGCTGAAGGATGCACAAAGCATATGTCTCTTGTGTCAAGTGTTCCCTGTGATGTTTGCCGTGAGTAAAATCTGAATCATCTTTGAACCATGTCTTTAGAACGTCCTTTGCCAATAAACTGATCTCTTTATCCTTTGTCAAAATCTGATTTTGGCTTATTATTATAATTATTTTGTTTATTTTATTTTTTTCAGTTTGGAATTTGCCTTATTGTTTATTTATGGTTCTTAACATGAACTAGAAGAAGTATATATTCTTTAAGCCACATTTAGTAATTTGAGAGAGCATTGAAGAGGCTGTGGAGATAATAGGTATAAAAAGGTAATAGGACGTGTCCATTCACAAAAAAATTATTGGTTGTCATGTAATTATAGATGTGTGTCTTTCATTGGTGTATGTTCAACGTGAACATATACTTAGCCTTGTCAGACATTTGCTCATAGTGTCCCCATTCTCTTATTTGAGAAAGCTCTGTGCTGTGAATCTTTGAAGAGGCTTGGAAAACTGTTTATGTGATAAATAATTGCAAATGGTGGTGGATGAATTGTTCTTGATTAAATCCTATAATGTGTTGTGGACTAATGTTCGAGTGAGTGACTTCATGGAGAAATGGTTTAGGTTTCTATGGTACCATCAAAGGTGGCATCTTTCACTTGGATGATGTTGAGGGACAGATTTTTGATTCTATGGTACCATCAAAGGTGGCATCTTTTTTCAGGAAAAAAGAAAAAGAAAAGGTGGCATCTTTCACTTGGATGATGCCGAGGGACAGCTTTTTGATGGTGGAAATCTGATTAATACAAAATTGGATAATTCTGAATCTGTGCATAATGTGTAGTTTAATGGCAGAGACAGTTGATCCTTTATTCTTTCACTATGATGTGGTGAACATTTTGGAATTTCATTTGCTTTCTTTCGTAATTTGGTGGGGTTTTCCTTGATCAGCGTGGGCCTAATTTGGGTTGGTGGGTGGGCATTTGTAACCAGTGATAGTGCATTAGTGATATTGCAAATGCCGCTCTTTTTCTTTTTCTATATATATTTTTTTTTTGGTTGCTTCTGCTGGTGTTTTGGGGGTGGTATTTGGAAGGGGAGTTATAGAAGAATCTTTCACTATATTGAGACTCTGGTTGCAAAACTCAAGCATTGTTATACTATAGGAAGCTTTTTATTCCAGATATCGGAGAACTTTGGGTTTGGATCTATCTTTGTAGAGTTTATGGACTCTTGTGAATTGTTATTGTTTGATGTCTGTTACACATTTCTACATGGGTTTTGCCCTTTCTATGTCTTCAATAAAATTACTATTTGGAATTGATTTAAAAAATCAAATTTTTATTGTTTAGATATGGTGTGATGAAAAAACTTTTTTAGGCTAATGGATGCATGAAATCTAATATTGTGTAGGATGTGGTGTTTCAAGTTAATCACTGCTTTGTTCTTATTTAGGCCAAATTATAGTCTTTTTGTGGTCAGTTGTATACTTGTTTCCCTGTCATAGTAATTGAAATTTTCTTTTCCCTCGTCTTTCTTTGGATGCAGATGGCCGTGGCCACCCACTTAATGCGAAAACAAGAATTTGTCCAACTTGTGAAGGCGTTGGGAGAGTAAGTGCTTTGATGATCCAACGCAATGATTCTTTTTGAGAAAGGAGACTTTGTGAGGAAGACTTTTTGTATTTATCATTTTGAAATCTGACAAGTAATTAAATTATTTCTTTGTTTCCAATACTACATGACTCTTTTATTAGGTTACAGTTCCTCCATTCACAACAGCATGCCATACTTGTAAAGGACTCGGTCGGATTGTTAAGGTCTGATGTCTGAACCTTTTTTCTTTTTGGGCCGAATTGTTAGGATCTGATGTCTATTCTGTTCTTTTTTTCCTTTTTCTTTTGTGTCGCTAAGCAACAAGTTTTGAGCCCCATAGCCCAACTTCAATTTGGATATTATGGTTCCTTTTTTTTTTATTTATCCACAATGCTACAATAGGTTTTGTGTGACGTAACTCCATTGGGTTTGAAATCTGGATGTGATTAACCTTTCATTATAATAAAATGGTGCAGGAATCTTGTACGACGTGCAAAGGATTAGGGGTGGTTGAAGGAATGAAGAAGGTTACAGTTCAAATACCAGCAGGTTGGTGTTGAATGTATTTTCAATCAAATGATTACAAACACTTTAGCCTTGTCTGAAAAATCCTTAAGTACTGAAATTTCTATTTATATGATATCATCAGGGTCAAATCTCATTTTTTTGGTTGGATTAATAAATCATGGCATATATATTACCTTTTTTAGGGACCATATTTGCATGAATACACAATCCTTCCTTCATAAAGCTTGTAAGTTCAAGTTGAGGGGTTGTATGCTGCTGTTGTTACATTTTTTTTTATTTTTTTGAAAGTTACTGCTGTTGTTACTTGTTCTGGTTGTTTAGTTGGCAATGCAATATTGTGGCCATAGTGTAATACTTTTTCATTTTATCAAATATTCTCAGTAACAAGAAGTCAATAACAGACTTTTTTCCGTGTTTAAGATAAATGATAGGTGTCTAAGATGGCTACTTCCTAAAAAGTGAAAAATATTGCTGGAATGGACAAGATACTATTGATTTTGATGTGATACAATGCTCCCTAAATGGTTAAAAAGATTGAAAAACTAGTATATCCTTATGTAACTTGCCTTTCTATATGTGTGTATACTTGTGGCATTTTTATATAATATTAAAGACAAAGAACCATTACGTTTCATTATGACCTTACATTATGAGTTTTTGTTGTTTAATTCACTGATGTCCTTTTAAATGGAATAGGTGTAGATTCTGGGGATACGATCCGTGTACCAAAAGCTGGTAATGCTGGAGGCCGAGGAATACAACCTGGCAACCTATACATAAAATTAAAGGCACAATATACTTTATATTCCTGATCGATTAAAATTCAGATGCTATATGATTTTGCAATTACTACACACTTACTCCTCTGCATAGAAAAGTTATCTTCTGCAAGCTTATCCTTTAGTGATATTGAGGCTGGTGGGTTCAATGACATTGTGTGATAGTTGATACTTGATGGCATGCACCTTCTTTTCTTCTTCTTTTTTCCTCTGTTATGCTCTAAGTTTTAACCTGTGGTTTATTTATATAATTAAAGCAAGCAAAAGATGGCTATTGCGATTTTGCTCTTTAAAGGTAAGAAGCGGTGGACGATATGTGCTCCTCAAATGTCCAAGTGCCAGGCTTGATGATGCTGAAGTAGCATTTGCTTCATAGAACAACTTCCACAAAGAAGTCTTAATAATATTGACTCGAAACCTCTCTTTCTCTATTTCTACAGTCACCATAATGAAGATAAATTAGATAGTAAAAATAATAAATCAGAGATGAATTAAGAAATTCAGAACTTGATAAATGTAAAAGAATAGTTGCTTTATGCCAGTGAATGATTCAAGTGGTGAGATTTAAAATGGTTCAATAATAAAAAAATTTGTAACGTTTAACAAAACTTGTTTGTCCTTGACTTATGCCTTGCCTAGTTATGACAAATGTGTTTTGTAGTCTGATTGGGTAAACATTTGCTCCAATAAGGATGTCAATCAGTGGGACTTTCTTTAGGTTTTTCATCTATGCTTTTCGTGGAACCTCATCTCATGATCACTCTTGCACTGTTATGCAATCAACTTTGATCTCATGAGCTTTGTTGCATCAATCCTGAGTTGGTTTGTAATAGAAATATATTATTATTACTCCTTCCATCCCAAATTATTAGTCCATTTCAGAAATTCCATTTTTTAAATATATGGAAAACTAACCCTTCATAATTTAGAGATTCACTCATTAGCATGTGCTTGGAAGTTTGTGTGTCTGAAGAAGTTCTAAATTTTATGGGTCAAATTTACAAAGGGGACAACTATTATGGGCATCTGAAAAAGGAAGATGGACCAACAACTCAGAAGGGAAGCTGATCTTTAAAAACATTGCTGTTTGAATGACCTGAATTAACAATTAAGTCATTATCAACTGACTCCTAACAGCCTCAACTACCATATAATGAACTAAATTAATAGATTTGTTCAATTTTAAGTCTGCTTATTTCCAATATTTGGAGTGTTGGGGTCAAGATGATTAAGTACTTTTTCATTTTTTTTCCCTATCCAAATCATTCAGTTTCCAAAAGACTGTATCCACTTAAAGAGTTAAATATATTTATGCCAATGTCATAATCTAATGTAATCATAACATCTGACTCCCATCGTTGTTCAAAATTATCTCATCCATCAATTGAATAACATGCTATTCATTTTTCAGGACTCCTTATTCACCTGAAGCTGGGAGTGTCAATTTACACTCGCAATAAAATTTAATTGAAATATTTTCATTATTGACTTCCATCATTTTCCTTGTTTCTCTTTTCCTATTCCTCTCGTTTTCCTTTGTATCATTTCAGTATTGCCATATTTTAGTTACAGGGCTTTATGTATTGCATATGCAGTAATTGTGTGTTTGAATCCAAAGGAAATTAAAGGAGGTAATGCTTGGTTTCCATTTTTATCTTTTCTGTATTACAATTACCTAGAAGCTGTAGGTTTTTATGTGACCTAAATTTATCATCAACACCGGTCATACTCAGAAGATATTCAATTTTGTGATGTGTAATAATTTGCTTGTTTTGTTCAACGTGTATAGACAGCTAGAACCTTTCCCATTCTTTCTTTTCATCGATCTTATGTTCTTTTGAGTTTTAATATATGCATGCTTTCAATTTTAAGTATCTAATGAACTTGTCCAATGGAAGTATGCTATATATGTGATGTATGGAATCTTGTTGTGAGTCCTTTAGTCCTGACAAATCTGAATGTATTGTTCAGCTGCATTCCTACTTAAAAACATTTAATGTATTTTTGTAACAGTAGTTGACTAAAGAAGACTTGTACCTTCAATGTGTTGTTGCTTTTGATTGACCTTTCACCTTTGGAGTTTCAGTATTTGCCTTTTGAATTGTCCTTTATTTTGGTATTTAGGTCGCTGAGGATCCTATTTTTGCTAAAGATGGCGCAGATATATACGTGGACTCTAATATTAGCTTTACACAAGTGAGAACTATTCCTTTGGCATGTGTGTGTGTGTGTATATATTTGGGTCTAATTTTCTGTTTAACAATATGGTGTCATTTGGTTCGCATGCAACATGGTAGTATATTATCTCTCTCTCTCTCACGTTTCTTGATGTGCTTAAACCTATGTGTGTATATAGTTAACATTTGGATACCTAATGATCGTCGGTCAGTGAGAGATCATATTTTATTTAATTGAATCATTGGACTTTGCTTAAATAAAAATCTTCCTTGCGAGCTCCTTCAAGTTGTTTATTTTGTGGTCTCCCGAGTCTACTGTAAGGGGCATCTGAACTTCCCACCTTTAGTGAATAAAAAGAAGATGAGCACCTTATGTTTGTTTTTGTCTTTTTGTGTCACAACTTTCACTAATTAATTGATGAAGACATAATTTGTTTTGTCTAATTATCCCGAACATGCTACCGAGTTGCTTCTCTTTAATTTGATTTTGGATGTGATTTTTTTTTTTGGTGGTGGTGTTTGGGATAAGAGGAGGAGAGAAGAAAGAAGGGGGGGGGGGGGGGGGGGAGGATAAAGAGAGTAATCACTTTTTTGCATGACAAAGCGGTGGATGAATGAAGAGTGGTTGGGCTTCTTATCTTCTACCTTTTTGAGGATATATTGGATTATGTCTAGCGTCCAAGCCCTCACTGTTCCCCAGCAACTTCAAGGCAACCAAAGGGGACGTAGGAAGGCGGGTATATTATAGAGCTAGGGGCAAATCGAAGGTTTGTCCAGTGGGATTGGGCATGGATGAGCCTCGACTGGACAGCATTGATGAAAATATAGGAAAGAAGGTGGAATAAGTTGGTGAAATTTTTTAATTGAATAATATTACCCTTCAATCATTACTTATCAAAAAAAAATTATTACCCTTCAATCATTGTTAGATAGCTTTAAAAAAAAAAACAAAGAAAAAGAAGAAGAAAAAAAGAATGTTGGGGACTTGTTATTAGGACAGCTAATTATATTTTTGTGCACTAGAGATAGCTAAACTCCACATCTTTAAATGAAGGAGAGAGAGAGAGAGGGGAGGGGGTGGGTGGGTTGTGGGATGGGGCTAAGGTGTCGGGCTAATTATTATTTTTTACGACAAACGCAATGAACCGAAGAACAAATCACGATAGAGAAACAAACACACCACACAAAGATTTACGTGGTTCGGCAAAGCCTATGTCCACGGTGAAGATCTGGCGAAAGGTTTCACTACACAAAAATCAGGAGGTTACAAAATTTAGCCCCCAAACCCTAGCTCGCTCTCTCACACCTATTTTTTTTTTTGCGATTTTCAATGTTTCTCAATATCCCACTCCAAACCCTAAACATCCTTAAATATTGGATTACAAGAGAGTACTAAACAGGGTCCACGAAATGCAAGCAAAAGATGGGTCAAAAATTTTCCTGGGGGGCACTGTCCCCGAACCCCTAGAACATTGTGTGGGCTTGGGCCCACACAAAGCTCAATCAACGGGTCGCAATGCAACCCGGAACCAAATTCGGACACAACATCACATTATCATTCAGTAATCTTATCTTTAAGATAAAGATGATGAGGGGGAGAATGAGATATGGGGGGTGGGGGGGTGGGGCTGATTACTTACTAGTCCTAACGCTATGAGATGGCTTACTTAGGTAAGAAGAGGAACAATGATAGTGGTTCGAGTCTTATTTTTTAATTAACTATAGTATTTCATACAGTAATATAGCTTGTTTATCTCAGGCTACAAAATGGTGGTTAATGTCAAAAGGCAATTAGCTCCTCATTTTATATTATATATTTTGGTAATGATACTATAATTTCTTTGGCCAAGGACATGAAGAGGGCTGCAATTTCATCTTGCCATTCGTAATTATTTAGCATATGATAATATATTTAGGACTTAAGTGTCATTATATTGGCTAAATTCGTGTCAAATTGAGTTTTCATTTTGGTTTTATCTTGAGTTATTTTTGGGTCACTGAGCTTGTTGGTCGAGACAGTTTTCTTTAGATTGGATGGTAATTATATTGAAATTGAAATCAATTTAGAATCAAGTAATTAACAGCTTTGTTCACTTGGATTGCACAATAGGAGTAAAATTGCACGAGCAAATCTAGGATTATTGGATTAATTTAAGGGATGTGATTTTCCCACACCACTTTTTTAAACTTGCATTCCACTTGATTTGTTTAATCACTTCAAAGGTTTAATATAATAGGACTTTTTGGTATAATCATGGAGTGTGAGAGTGCTTTTGAAAGACAATTCTGTTATTTCCATTTTTAAAGAAGCAGGTGGAGTGCATGAGTACAAAAATGGCGTTCGAATATCATTTTTCTTATAATTGTGTTTAATATTAGTTCATGTTTGTTTTAGAGGTTTCTGAAGACTTCTAACTTGGCAAAACTAGTGTTCTGAAGGTCTTGGGTTGGTTAAGAAGTGTTTTTCTTAAACATTATACTTGGAAAGATTTTTATTTTATTTTATTTTATTTTTATGGATGCATAGAGGCTATATCAAACTACAAACACATTATTTCCCAATTTTTGGAAAATATACAGTTGATGGGTCTACAACTGATATGCTTTGATACCAGTTGTTGGTACCTAAGATCGTTATCCAAGGCTCTGATGCTAGAGTTAGTGCAAGGTCCAAAGTAGTTCGAGAGAGAGGAGGGCGAGGGGGTTGATTAGATCTTGTCCAATTTCAATTAATAATAGCTAATTATTGAATTATCACAATTATATTTGAAACACAGCTTTATGAATTAGTTAAGTATATAGAGGAGAAATAAAGAAATCATGCAATCACACAAAAAAATACGATTTTTACATGAAAAACCCCAATGGGAAAAAAAAAAAATTGATCTAGTCCGGTCAGATCAAATCCACTATGAGAAAACGATATTACAAGTAGGTTAACAGTTTCCATACTCTAGAATCCCGAGTTACCTCTTGACATAGAGTCTGATCCTCCAAACTTTCTACTTGAGTCTGGCACATTGTCCGCTTGTCAATAGCTCCGCTCCTCACGTGATCTGCTTCTCCAACTAATGATTTGATCTCCAATGACTAGTCTTCCAAGTTATGTGTTTATTGTATAGAAACACTTCGATGTTGATGACGATGTAAGCTGCACAAGAGGATGATCAACACTCTAAATAATAACTCACCATCTAATGCAATATGGTAGATGATGAAAGGCTGACACATTGTCCGCCCGTTCACAGCTCCGCTCCTCACGCGATCTGCTTCTCCAACTAGCGATTTGATCTCCATTGACTTGCTTCCAAGTTATGTGTTTGTTGTATAGAAACACTTTGATGTTGATGACGATGTAACTCCACAAGATGATGATCAACACTCTAAATAATAACTCACCATCTCGTGCAATATGGTAGATGACGAAAACAAAAACATGCTGTCTATGTGATCTCTCTCTATATGATCTCTCAATAATGTCTGTAGAGATCTCTCTGTATTTGTCTATCTATTTTATTTTATTTTCAGGTAAATATCTGTCTATCTATGTTATGAGAGCCTAAAGGTCTTTATATAGTGCTTCAAGTCTAAAGGTATTGGGTTCTTTACTTGTAATCAATGTGGGAAAACCTGAACCTTTTAGGAATCTGTTAAAGTAGTAGCCAAAAGTTGTTCGCGTACAGGTTGACAAATCAAGCGACAACTGGACAAGGCTTGATCGGTGGACAGTTTGATTGACAACCTCATATCTCAGACTTTTCATTCAGACTCAACTTTCGATTGATTGATGCTCTCTGGAATTTACGTGATCTATCAACCTATTTAAATATATTTAATCCAGAACATCCTTTTCATGAATCAAACCGTGTATGCATTGTGCTTTAAAGAATGTTTCTTTAATTTGTGTTCATTTGGGAAAAAAGATTTTTAAAAGATATAAAAAGCATCGTAGGGCTTCCATAACAATAGAAATGAAATGAAGAATGATATCCTAGACTTGAAAGGCCTTTTACACTTTGTGAGATATTTTTGGGAGCTTGATACACGCATACGGTTCCTGAGTTTGAGTGAAAACTTAGAACACGTATATGGCTCCATAAGTTCTATTTGTGCTTGATTGAAGATTTGGAAGAATATTAGTGGCAGAGATTCCACAGCAATTTTACATAGATGATGGTCTGTCTCTCTTTGTCTCTCTCTCTCTCTCTCTTTCTCGTGTGTGTGTGTGGAGTACGAGAGTGGTTCACGTGGCAAATTGGTTGGCCACCAATCACCGTGTAAGAAGGCAGGTTTAAAGTTGTAGTTACGTCGACCATTAGCAATGGTTGGACTTGTGGGGTAGGTGCCTGAGAATGGACTGGGACTACACATGTCAATGTGGAAAAGGTGGGAAATATTGCACGTTAGAGGTAGAAGCTGATGATTCCGACTCGACAACAATCGTTCTGCTTTTTATTTGGCACAGTTAATTGGTTAGCTCTTGATGAACATGAATTCTTCTTCCATTCTTTTCTTTATAACTTATGCTTTTATTATACCCAATTTCTTAAGATATTTTATGAATTTCATCCCATGTTTGTATTGGTCTACCTTTTTGCTTCTTATCTTCTATTTTACTAGTTCTTTTTCTTATTAGTGCATTTTCTGATCAGCCTTATATGGGTGGATTTATGGTAACATAGTGAATGGAGTTATTTAAAATGCATCAACAGAAAGATTTTAGTTTCTCAAGGACCTCAATAAAATAATTTTCCTTATCCTTTACTCTGTCCTCCCTCTTACTTCTTAGTCTGACTCCAATAGCTACTCTTTCTATATATTTTTGAATTTGAATCCCGAATCCCGAATCCCGAATCCCTTCATCTTGAATCCATCCATCCATCCATCAAACATTCCAACTTTAGTCTTTTATGTTAAACTTACTTGACTAGAGGTTTATTATCTCCAAGTTCTCTCTCTTCCCTTCTCACCCAAATGATATACAATCTCTGACCCCCTGATCAAAGTGCTAGGTTTTTGTCACCTCTGTGGGTTTCATTAGTTTGAGTCAGAGCTTTCTCCATACCACTCAATTAATAGGTTATTAGTAATGATGCCCAATAATTTTTGGGATAAAAGAACATTCAATTCTTTTCCAAGTAAAGACTGATGTTTAATAAAAGACAGGTCTAAAGGACATCATACCTGAAATATGTCTATCTGAACTATGTTTGCCTAAAGAGTTGGCAGTTGATGTAAGCTTCTACACGAGTAGTTGTTAACATTATAGTCCCCCTTGAATCAATGCTTTGTTGTGGACTAGAAATTTTTTAAGCATTATTGGGACATAGCCACGTCCTTCGATACAAATTGCCTTTTTGAAGTGAGTAATGTGATTGTCCTTGTAGCTTTTGAAAATTTCTTTGCTCTAGTCATTTTCTTAATTTACCTTGCGGTGGTCATTTTTTATACTTGATTAGAATTCTTTGATGGTCTTCTGCTTATATTTGACATTATTGTTGAAGTGCTAGCAATGTGCTTTAACAAAACTTGTGTTTTTCTCCCTGGTCTGATAGCTTCTCAGATTATCTTAATGTTTTAATTCATGATACATACATATGTATATCCAATCCTAGTTGACTTTACCATATTCAATAGTTTTGACATGTCAAAATGTGGTTTCATGTCTTTCTAACCTAATATATTTGCAAGCAAAACTGAAGTAGTTTGCTAATTTAGTGACATCCAAATTTTTATTTTTTATTTTTGAACAGGCTATTCTTGGTGGTAAGATTGAGGTGCCGACTTTATCCGGGAAGGTGCAAGTGAAAGTATGACTTGTTTCCTTTTTTGCTTTGACGTAATCAAATGGTTTTTTTTCCTTTTTATTTTTGTGTGTGTTGGTTTCCTTAGAGGATACTGCTGGAATGATTTCATGCATGTAATATATTGCTGATGAATGTTTACTTTGTGGGAAGTGCAGTTGAATGTAGCTTTGGAATATTTCATTCCAACTTTTTATTTTGCAGGCTTGACAAAACCTTTTGTTTTTTTGTTTGGTTCTTATTTTTTTCTTTGTACTCCCCCCCCAAACCCAACCCCCAATAACATGAAGTTGAAATTGTGGATAAAATATAATCTCGAGGAACATTGTCATGGCTTCTGCAATCAAGATTAGGTGTTAGAACTAGACAGACAGTAAAGAACTGAATTTGATCTTTATTGTTGAGATATTTACTTGAACTTAAAGAACCTGATTTCAGATGGCTAGGACTTCATGGAGGGTGGTCAATTGAAGGAAATTTGATTATTAGCACTTTTTAGCAAAACCTGGCGGGATGTATGGTGATACGCAAGCTGGGCCTGTATCTCAGAGCAAGGTGCTTTGGATTAGGATCTTATGTTGGAATTTTTTTTTTCCCTTTTTCTTTGGGTGGGAAAAACAATTTGTTTTGGGTGGGTGGGTGGGGTGGGGTGGGGGCGGTGGTTGTCCATAGGGGGTAGTTGAGTATTGTGCATAATGATTTCTTATAGATAGGGAACAAGTCTAAAACACACTCACATATACAAATATAATTTTGAAATGTATATGCATAAGTTCACCAAATAATTGCGGATGTAGATAAAAACGTCTAGCCCTCGCATCAACATTGGAATCTACAGAGTTCTAAGGTAGTGCATGGGAAACAAAGAAGAAGAAGAAGGAGATTGAAAGTGAATTTTAAAAATATGGATTCCTAGATATTATTTCTGAAGAGAATTTTGCTGTGTTGGTTTTGCTCTTTTCCTTCTCACTACATTGTTTCTGAGTTTAAAAAGAGAGAAACGGAGGAAAACTGCACTCTTCATGAAGAAAGGAGAAGTGAAACATGACACTGTTTTAGACTGGATTTCGTTCAAACAGAATATTAGATCCATAAAATATTTCACAAAAGCCTCAATGTGGATCGTCAGAATTGTTCATACCGAGTCCATGGTGATCCCACTAGGATCCTACCTCTCTGTTATTTTTCATACAATCCAGATCTATGTGACAAATTTGAATCATAGGATCCTAAGATCCCGCAGCCTGGGTTGGATGCTGATTACCGTGTATTAGAGTGGTTTATCATGTTAGACCCACAATTTTTCAGTTGGATTTTGTTATTAAAACATTAGTTATAGTAGTTTGATTATTTGACGCCGGACTATTTGCAGGTTTCACTCCTTTTGGCTTCCCTTCACTTAAGTTCTATTTCCCTTTTTATGGCTTTCCCTTTCTTTGTTTTTGTCAAATTATGTATTTATTAAACTAAATTCAATTGATTCTCCATTCTTTTTGTTTATTAATTTTCATTTAAAGCTTATTTTGGTGCCTACTGCTGCCAAAGTTATTTTTTCAATACTGTGCTTCATCATGACAAACATTTAATATAACTGTGATCATTTTTTCTTGCTTTGTATTTTGTCCTATTAGATACCCAGGGGGGTTCAGCCTGGACAGGTTATTGTGCTAAGAGGCAAAGGTACAATAAACCAAACTTTTGCTCTGCTGAAATCTACTTTGATTCGCACTCTCTCTCTCTCTTTCTAAAGTGGACTTAAACTTATGAGTTGTGGTGTTCTGGAAGGCTTGCCAATGCATGGTTTTCTAAAAGACCATGGAGATCAACATGTGCGCTTCCGCATCACCTTTCCTACGTAAGCATTTTCTTTTCTTGCTCTAATCTGTAAGGTCTGTATAGCCATAATATGTTCACACGTTTTGTTTGCTTCTCTTCACTATTATTTTGTCAACCACAACTTCCAGCTGAGCTGTGCATTTGCATGCTACATTAATGGATTATCAGAAGTTGGCATTCGATCATTTTAAAAATTTTATTGGAAGGTAGATCTTCATTTTAGTGTATGGTCTTTTTCGGTTATATTTAAAATTATGACAATGTAACTCAGGAAATGTGAACACTTGATTTTGTTGCTTGTTATGTATTTGAGTGTCAATATCTGATCATGGTTTGTGTAGACTTGTATTAATCAAATCAGTTCATTTGGGTACAAGAGACCAGTATAGCATGCAACTATGCATGGAAATTAGAAAATTAAAAGAGAAACAACTCTTTTACAATGATGTCTGTATAATTGTGAGTTGCAAACATTAAAATTCGAAGTTGCAAGAGAGATATTTCTTTTGGATAGACAGTTCCATATGGTATTTTGCTTGACTGTTTGTCTTTATAAGAAAGACCCTGAACTTAGGATACCTGTATCAGAACTCTGTTCCTTTTCTTTGACCTTTTACCTAAGTTAGATTTTCTATTTTGCAGTGAGCTCTGTTTTTATTTAGTCTAAAATCAAAATAATGCGTCATCATATGATTTATACCTGCATGGGTTGCAAAATCCAAAGGATATTTTCATGGGCAGGCAGTTAAATTTTTTTTCATTACAGTAGAAGTTCTAGTTGCTTAATTGGGTATGCAGATAAAAATTTCAAGGTAGACAACAAAAACATAACAATAAAACCTATCAATTGAAGAGCTAGGGTTAGCAATCCGATTAGGGCGCTTGGCTGAGAATTATTTATGTGTAAGAAGAAGGTAATTCACTGAGACAACAGCCTCTTTGAGGCCTGGAGCAGAGGCTTTTAGAGCAAAGATCACTAAATCAGACCCCTCTTTTTGTCTTCACTGGCACCCTCTTTTATTCCCCTTCTTCTGAAGAAAGTGCTACTTTTACTTATATTATTGATGAAGCCCTAACTTCTTTTGTTTATTGCTGGGTAATCTGGTAGGTTTTTTTCAGTTACAAATAGTGCCTAGCGAATGAATCATGTGAAGGTAACATAATAAGGGATGTAGAGTTACTAATTGTAAAAGCTATGTGAGCTGTGAGGGAAAATAATACTTCAACTTAAGTGTGTGATTTTGAGATTCCCTATTGAATCAGTGAATTTCAATGTGTGCAAAAAGGAGCTGTTTGTGAACAGCTTTATTCCAGTTACTTTTTGATTAGGTTGTTTGTCTAGAAAAGTGAGCTTGAAATCCATGTTGTTTGCTAAAAATGCTTACTGAAAGCACCATTTGGCTTGGTTAATCACTTAACACTGCAAAAATTGAGATGCTAACGTAGGATTGTTGCCTTTTGCATGAAGGTGCACTGTTGCCATTAAGAAATCACTCTCAATTTGTTTGATCAATATAATTTCAAGTTTAAACAACCTTCACATTCCAACCAATAACAGAAAGACATTATCAAAACCACCTTTTGTAGGTATGCTCATTTTAAACCCCCCCCATAGGTTGTTACTCTTGACACTGGGAAGTAGAGAAGCAGAATGTAATTCAAGGGAAAACTTAAAGAATAGGTTGGCTCGCCACTCCTAAAGAATTCATGGGATGGATAAACAGAAAAGGACCTTAATTCTAGCAAGCCAAAGGCCCAAATTTCTTTCAAATTTCATCGAGTCTTACTTATGTTACTTGGATATAACCTTGAATAACAGTAACAGTAACAGGAAACAATTTTCCATCCATAAGTGTATATCAAAAGTAAAATAACAATTTCAAGTTAGACAATAAAAATTAAGCAAGAGATGAAAATTGAAAGCTATATAACTCGTGTTACTACCAGGGACATTGGGACTTGAAAGGGCATCACAAGAGGCAATGAATATACAAATTATATAAAACAGTGATCATTTTGGAAACCAGATTTATTTCTCTCCCCCAACCATATTGGTCTTTCAGGGTAAAACTTCCCCAGTGAAATTAGTTTTAATTGACAAGGTGAGAGAGAGACAGTTTTTGTATGTTGTTATTTGAGCGTCAAATTGCTTAAGCTTTCAGAGCTGGCTATACACACTTTTCTGAACATCATACAGTGCTTTTACAAATTGGTGTGATACTCCATTGACCTACTTTAGCTGCATTGGCAGTGTAGTAGATTTGATCTATAGATGAAGTCCACTTGCCCCAAAGTTTATCCAGCCAGGTTCCCGCTTGAATGCTGGGACGATATTGTCCTTGACTAGTCTTATCTTCCCAGTCTTCATGAGGAAAAGTTTATTTATAAATTGCCACATTTAATAAGTAGTGAATCACCGAGTTACCAATGGAAGTACAAACTCCAAATCTGAAGTTGGATTCAAGATTAAGTACTCATTATCCAAGTATTCATCAAAGCTTGGTGGAAAGTTTTAATCTGTACGATTTTTATGCTTTTGCTCTTTTTTTTTTTTTTTTGTGCGAGATAAATTTAAAAAAAAAAATTCACAAATTTCATTACACAGTACAACCCAAGTTTTGAGTAGGACACATGACTCAATATCCTACCTAACAAAGTTATAATTTATTGAAATTAATAAACTTGATTTCTAAAGGCTTGAATGAGATGAATAATATGTAAATGCTTGAATGAGGCTTCAACACTCATTCACAACTCTGATATTTATATACTAAAAAGAGCATATGTAATATTACAAGAAACATAGTATATGCCTAGATATATGCATAAATAAAGTCAAATCCCATGATTCTAGCTTATCATATCTCGGCTAATATGGTAAGTTACATCCATGATTCTAGCCTATCATATCTCGGCCAACATTTTCCCTCAAGTTGGTTCGTAGAAATTTGAGATGCCCAACTTGGACAATGCATCCTCAAACACGGACTTTATAAATATATAGCCAACGACTATGTTTGGCTGCATTAACTTGACTAGCCAGAAATAACCATGGCATTTTCTCCAAACCACTGTGGATATGTCTTATCTGATTTAGTTGGTGTCTCAGACCATAAACCATTAACAATGTCTCCTCAGAGTATGAGCAACCAACCATGTCTCCTTTGACCATAAACAACCTCTCCTCAAACCATAAACAACCATTACTGTCTCCTCAGAACATTTCCCTTCATACACATGTTTAAAATATGTGGATGGAAGAATTAACACTGTCTCTTCATACCATTCCCCTTCACACATGTTTAAAATATGTAGACGAAAGAATCAATAATGTCTCCTCAGACTATTCCTATTCATACACGTTTAAAAATGTTGAAGGATTTACATATTTAAGTTACACCCTCTCTAATAGCTTAAGCTTTTAGAGTAGATGGTTGTTAACAAGGCCACAAGTGAGGCATGCAATGATACATTTTCATGTAGAACAAAAGCATAATTATGACAGCGTGAAATTAGAAAAAAGAAACTTTTTCATTCTTTAAGCATGAACACTTAATGCATAGTATAGAAATTAGAATTGAATCAAAGTTCCATAAGAGTCTTACTCAATAGATATATAAAAATAAAATTTTACTTATATATATATATATATAGATATATATAAATTTATATTTATAAATAGCCTTGTCCATGAGGGTGGGCCTTGGGGCAATAGTAAGGTTGCTCCATTGTGATTTGGAGGTCATAGTTTCGAAACTAGAAACATCCTCTTCACATGGAGGTAAGGCTACGTACATTTGACCCTCCCCAGACCTCGTAATGGCGGGAGCCTTGTGCATTTGGCTAGCCCCATATAGCCATATACGTGTCCTACTTTTTTCAGGAATTAATGTGTCGATGTATCCGTTGACTTTAAGAGATCATCAAAACAAGAGTAAAGTAGAAGATGAAGAAGGAGAGAAAAAGAGAGAGAGATGGGGAAAGAGAGACAATGAAAGAATACTTTCATCCTTCCACCACATTCTTTTTATAATAAGAATTTTCAGAATTACACATAAGCACCCTACATTATATAAGTAATAACAAATAAGCCCCTGACGACAACAGTATCCGTGTTTTATTGTATCCGTGCCTATGCTACTTAGGAGTATATATTCAACGATAAGTGAAGTGGAAATCACATTTTCTAAGATTATTACCAGCAGCATCAATTTATTAAAGATTTTTTTTTCTTGGCATCTGGTTGTGTTGTGTGAAATCATCAGATGACCTAAGTAAGAGATGCTTCAGTTTACCAATTACTGATATGAGAACTGGAAGTGTCTTCTGCCTCTTCCTTGGATAGTATTTATTGGCCAGCAACATCATGTTCTTTATAATTACCAAAGTTATGAGTGCCACCTCATTGTTTTTCTGTGATATGTTTGGAACTTCTGAACTAGTATTTCCTGGTGAACTTGAATAGATGCATCTCATTTGTGCTTCATCTTATTCTACAGCACAGTAAATGAACGCCAACGTGCTATATTGGAAGAATTTGCTAAGGAGGAAATTAGTCGTGAAAATACTGCAGGAAACTGGTAAGTTCCCCCTCCTCTCAGATGTGCATATACTTTGCCGTTCTTGTTTCCTGTGGGAATTGATAGATATATATTCTTTAGAGGGGTGGGGTTACTATTTTATAATTTTAAAGGTACCATGTGCACAAACAATATGTTGACATGGATTTAAGTGATGTAGGACAAGTGCAGAGAAGAACTTTGATCAAACTGATGCAAGATGAGTGGAAAGATTCACCATCCTACAAACTCCTGTATGAAACTTGATGTAGGGCAGTATCAAAGAGTTTTGTTCTGGGGCTGATTGTGGCCTAATGGGATAAGTGGGGGGATTTTTAAGAGGGTCTAAAAAGTGATATGCGTTTGTGAACAGTTCCTGTTAATAGTAACAGGCTGGTTTATGTTATTTGGATGATAGATTGAATTTTTAGAAATCGGCTTGCAAAATTTTATGCCTTTAGAAAAGGGGTTAAATCAGTTCTGGTTGTGGCGACTTAAAACTTAATAAGGCAGAAAAATATATTGCAACTAAAAAAGTAGAAATATGGACCACTACTATAGCCTAACTCATCAGCCTAAGACTATGGACCACTAGTATAGCCTAAGACGCACAGATGCTGCTCTAAGAGGCCCAAGAATGACATACGCTTTTAAAGAGAAGTATCTGTATGTGACATGTCTGACAGGACACTCCCATACACATGTTGGATGTGTCCATGGTTTAAAATAAATTCTCAATTTCTGACACATAATAACAGAGAACTAATGTAGTTTTATTGTTGAATAGGCTTCCATTTAGTATGAAAACAAATTGTAATTGTAAGAAAAATAAAATTACAACTTTATAATATATTTATATACATGCACCACACACACATATCTACATACGTTCTGTCCTTGTTACATCTTTGATCTTTCTATCTGAGACATGTTGGTTAAAGTTCTATATGATCTGTAAGTTAAAAAATTCTTGTTACAGTCATAGATTGTATATTTGCTTCTGTGATATAATCTTTATGCCCTTCCCCTGTCCTTGACCCTCCAGTGTCCCTGTCCTATTTATTAATTTTTTTAAGATTTACCATGTGAGTATGTCCGTGTTATATCCTGCCCCTTCTCCCCATCCGCATCCTTGCTTACTGGACTGAGTTTCATGCACAATTGTCAGAAAACTACGTTAAATAGAATATAACTATTTATAGGCTGCTGATTTTTCCTACTCTCACTGGGATTTGACTCAAAATATAATAATTTTAAAAAAAATTTGACTTTAACTATTAGGACTGTTCTAGAATTTATTATTATTTTTTTGTGTAGCTGCAGACTGTTCTAGATCAACTAGGACTCCCTCTAAAAACTCATTACAGCTCATGTCTATCGAGCATACTTGACCTAAAGTAAGCTCATTTACCACTACTACATCCCACAAATCTTGAAAGTACCAAAATATCCTTGATGCCCCAATGACTACTAAAAACTTGGTAAAAATATAAATTAATTTGACAGCTACTAGCTTCAATTAATCAAATCATCTCAAAACTTAATTCAGCAAGCAAGTCAAACTCCATGCAAAATTTCCTTTTTACCTCTTTCTTGTTAGTGTGCTCTGTATTTTTTAGTTTCTTTGTATTCTTGGCCTTTTTCTCTTTAAACACTATTCTTCCAGAATCTTGTGCATGCATTGGAGATTAAATAAACATTTAAGGGCTCCATGAGTATTTCATTCTATATGATATAATCATCTGAGCTGGACATGCTTAATGTGCTTTTCATCTATATCTATATTTAAATCCCACTCCTATGGCTCTCCCTAATTGGTATTCTTTTAGGGGTCCTGAAATTTGCCCAATAAATTTTTTTCAGTTTTTGCTTTAATTATTTGAGTAGAAATGTTTGCAAGAAACCTTATATTTGAAAATCATTGCGGTTAAAGAAAGGCCATGGTAATCCCAAGGGGTTGGCTCAAGTGGGTAAGTCATTCCTTGGAGGGGGTGTGTGTGAGTACCAACTACGAAAAAAGAAAAAGAAGAAGGGCCATGGTGTTACACTATCTATGCCTAAGAATCATGCTACCCTGGTCCTAAACAAATCTGCATCATTCGAACGTATTCTATCTGAAGTTCAGACCGTGTTAGTGTAGATCCCTAACTGTCTGATTCAGTAGAGCATTACTGAGTTCATTACAATTTTTAGGTGAGTTAAAATACTGGTTGGGGGCCAAATGCATGCAAAATACTGTTTGTTGTAACGGGGTTCCTAGATGGTATGTAACGAGTATAGTTGCCTGATCACTAGATGTTTTTGTGGATTAGGATGGTGAACTAGATTGTCTTTTTGATACTTTTGTTTGGGACAATATTATATTTTCTTGAGATTATTCTCAGAAGTTTTAACTCTGCATGTTTTACACCCTCAAAGTACTCACTAGATCATCACTATCTTCTGGTTTTGATCATCTTCATGCTTTCAAATTCATGTTACCTAGTTTTCACAGTAATATTTATCTTTAACTCATATTTTGTTCCATTAGCCTTTTAGATTATTTCATTTGCATTGACATGCAGCAATTGAGCTTTTACTGAGATACTTGTTGTTTTCTCTCAAAATGGCATAATCAATTGGTTGATATTTTGACCACATCATTGCATTTTTTAGTCACCATTCTGAATGTGATGAACATTCTGGAAATGGATAACAGGCTTTATCAGCAGCTATCTACTGGTTGAACTCTTACAGGTGGCAGCATATTCTTGAACGTGTGGCGGGTCCAAAATTTATTCTTGAATTCTCTCTTTTTATGTTGATCCTGCTGCTGCTTGGCAAAATCATGGGATGAATCATGGGATGAGAGCAGCTGCTTTATGATTTTTGATGGATAAATCTATGGCAATCATCTTTGATAGAAGGTTACTGCTATCGTCATCCTTAACAATTCTGCTGATGTAGTCCCAGTTATATCGGATTCCTCTGCTGAGAGAGAAGAGTTCTTCGACGGAAGGTTTTCACGTTCATTCACTCTAACTTTTTGTTCTTTTCTTCATTCATCATCAAAGAGTACAACACTATAGGGTTGCTTCTCCTTTTGGTTAGAATACAGTTTGTGTATGTCACACATATGAATTGTTGTATAGAATTGATCATTTTATGATTAATAAAAATGAGGCTTCTTTAATCATTCAACTCTGTTCCCATTCTCGATGTTGAATCTCTCTGAACATATATATATATATATATTTAATTATTTTTAAACTTAACACTGAAGCCAATATATCAGCTGTGCAGCATGTCTTTTTTGTCTTCTAAGAAGTGAAGTAATTCCAATCATTTTATTTGTTTACAAGCAAGGTCAAGTCTGAATTTATAACTTGCTGCCATGGAGGGTATGGAGGATGCTTTTTTGAATTTTTTAACTGTCCTTTCCTCATATGCTTCTTGCATAATTTCCGTTCATCCTAGACGCTGTTTAAAGAAATCTAACAGCAGTTGAGTACCCTTATAGGGATTGATATTGGGCTTCTACTTCTCTGCTTTTGTTGTAACGTCTAGGCAACTATAAAATTTCTACAGAGACTCCTCAAATTTAGATTGCAAGTTTTAGAATTTATTATTATTATATTTATTATTATTAAAGTCAGAGTGCTTGATTATCCGAAAATGATGTCTCCACATAGTTGGATCATGCTCTGCATACGGTTGTAGAGTTGGAAGATACGAATAGCTATTTTTCACCCTGAAAATTGGAAGTAGGTTTCGGGTGGGGGTCTGCCAGTTTGAGACAATTCATTTCAAAGAGGTGATGACAAATGGTGCATTATGGACATCGGAATCCTTTGGGGAGAATATGAATCCTTTCCGAATGGCTATTATGGTATGAATTTTTGTCAATTGATTTTAAATCATCTTCATTTTCAACTTCTCCTTCTGAAATGTAAATTAAGAAAATTTCTGCAATTTTGAAACATTGTCGTTTGGGTTTGTTTCTTTGAATGTGTTATTGGTATTGTGTTATGCAACTACATTCATCTGGTAGGTACATGTTAATATTTCTTTCATCTCATAGTATAAGACACCATGTTTTGATGTAGTGCAATGGAAATCACACTCAAGAAAGTTTTTGGATTCTGCTTTGCTAAAACCATAGGGTCATGAGAATGCTTTGAAGGGCATAGTATATGCTTTTGCAGCTTTTCACATCTTTGGGCATGTCTTTTAAGTTTGGCTAGTTTATGGATCTATCTATCTATCTATCTATCCATAGTTTAAATATTTTCAGGACCTTGAAAAATTCAGTATTTAATGATATGGTATATCTATATTATTTTTTGTTATGGACCCATGCAAGTCATTGAGTTTTCAAATCTTTTCTCAATAAATTTTTTTAATTGTATTAATCCCAAAAGACATGTCTTCTTCTTCTTCTTCTTCCATTTTTTTTTTTTAATTTTTTTTAATTTATTTATTTTATTATTATTATTTTTTGTTAAAGTAATTCAGTTTCCAAATATCACATCTTTTCTTTAATGAAGTGTCAATAATTTTGGAGTAATTTTTTATATATAAATTTTAGATTTTTTTATTAATTAATTTCGGACTATGTGACTTATTCAAAAGTCATTAATATTTCAAAAATTACATTTTTCTCGCTAGGATTTTTATTTTTTATTGATTAATTTCAAGGGACGTGACATGTTGTGAGATTTATATGTACCACTTGCAAGTGAACGAATCTTTGTAAATAGGGTTTACTTGTAAGGGTGTCGTACTCAAGGGACCTGTATAAAATAAGTTTGTCAACAGATTTCTTAAATTCTAAATTAAATTTAGATAAGTCGAAAAAAAAATAAACTGTTGCACCACCAATTAATTGCATCAATTTATTGGAGATATATCATATAACATGCATAGGGAATAAATCATGGCTACAAACACATATTTATTTAGTTAGAAAATAATATAATTTAAAGCTAAGCATGGACTATCTTCGATTGGAATAAACCATTTACTTAACTACTTTACTCTAGGGTGTAACATGATCTATTTTTTCTAGGCATAATCCATCAAATCTCTAACATTATATTTAGAGAAATACCATTGTGTAATCATCTCATTCATAACTACAAGAATCATAACTACAAGAAGTGAATGAGTTGTGTTCAATCACAAGATTAAAATATTTAAGAAAAGATAGAAAAATATTTGTAATTGAATTAAAACTCTAAAACTGATTCTTATTGAAAATTCCATTAAAAACCCTATAGATTACACAATCATGCATGATAAAAATTGTTCTCTAATAATTAAATACATTCAAACCAGTGTGTTAAGCTAGGGCTACATCAGCACCCTAGTAAAGCGTTTTACTAAGCATGACTGGAGTGAAATTCTTCATGGTTGAGGAAGATATCTTCACCGCCATGAATTGATCCATTCCTTCTTCTGAATGCTCCTCTATGCTCTTAGCCTCAAGCTCCTCTGTATGATCCTTCAATGCTGTAGATGACTCCCTTTAAATAATAAAAGATTAGCTTTAAAGTTTTCTTTTCCATATAAAAAAGACATACATAGAAATTTTGTTAAATAAGGACTCTAAAATTTGTACAGACTTTTAGCCTAATTTTGACAAGGTAAATAGCTATTTTAGGGAATCATCGTGAATACAAAATTGTAGCTCTTTGAATTTCCTTTCAACCCACGCGAGAATTTAGCTGTTTTGACGCTCGAGGATAGAGATACAACCAGATTACTAAAATGGGTTCAAGTTACCAACTTCGGCGAAAATTTTCTTTTTGGAGAAGGATTTTTCATTTTCTTCTTCTTTCCATTCTCATCAACTTGTGACTTCTTTTGGACTATTTATAAGTATAATTAAACTTGGATCTTCAACTCGGTCCCACGGAAGGTCATCTTTTAAAATTCAGAATCACGGGTCTTGACTGATTTTACAAATAAAGTCCTGAAATAAATAAAAAAAAAAAAATAATGTAAAATCACAAATAAATTATTATTAAGAAAATAAAACATGCAAGTAAATGGATTAAAATGTGTAACATTCAGCGCGTAACATGACATATCCAAAAGTCACATCTTTTCAAGTTCATTTTGTATTAAAAAGGGCAAAATTCTAAATTCCAATTCCCCCAAAAAAAAACACTTCATCACAAAAGTATTTGTGTTTTAAAAAGTCTATTATGTGTTTGAGAAACAATTAAAAAGTTCTTTTAATTAATTACAAAAGACACGACTCATCCCAAACAAGGCCCGTTCTCCCTCTTCCTACTCTGTATGGTTTACATAAAATGAAACAAAGCCAAATTCTAAAATCATTGTTTTCCTAATCATTAGGGCTCCGATGTAAAATATTTTTAGATATTTGATTGTTGTAAAATATTTATGAAGAAAAAATATTAAAGTCTAACAAAAATAATTTACTTATCAACTTTGGACAAATTATTTTACATGCACCACTCATTAGACTCAACCTCGATCTAAACTTTTGCCAAATACACATACACTCAGTATAGTTAAAATAAAACAAAGCCAAATTATTATGTGTTTTCTTTTTATGTTTTTTTTTATTATTTATTTTTCAATTATATATACATATATCTATTTTATTTTACTTTATATTATTTTAACCTTTTCTCCTCTATTTACTTTTAGAAATTTTTGTGATTTATATATAAAATTTATTTGTTTATCTTAATACAATAGCCTTAAAATGTGCATCACCCATACAATCGAAGTACATTTGCACTGGTCATCCCACCTTCAGTATCATGACTAAAAAAAATTACAATCTGATTCGAAACGTTTTGACATCAAAATTTTCCAATTACAAAATATATATATTTTGATAATTTTGTGACAAACCTGGAGAACATGTAACTCAAATAGAAGGAATAAATTACAGTCAAAAATAAAAAACAACGGAAGGAAGTTTCATAAACTCAGCAAAGCACATAGAGCTCGATCCATTGCAATTGGTGTCAGGTTGTTATTTATTTTAAATGGATATCTATACCAAAATGGGTTGGTTTATTTTAAATAAAGATTGAAAGCTTTTGTTTTGGGAGAGAGGTATAGAGAATACAAATATAGCCTCCCTAATGGACCGCGAGGATATGGTTAAAATTTAGTATCTAAAACGCTCCACATAAATATCTACATATTTACTAGCTTTACAAAACTCGCTACACTTCTTGAATTTTTTTTGAATCTACTAGTTTTTACAAACCCTCCATTCTACAATCCTCCATTCCTCTATACAATACTCCATCATCGTGACATAAGTGTGAAAGCCTAATATAGGGAATACAACCGCTCTAACTCCGTGATCGTGAAGGTCAGCACGATTAAATGAATTTTCTTATTTTATTAATCTCAAATTTTGAGAGGGTAATTGGGCAATTCATTTGATTATTATTTGTCACCTGCAGTGTTATTTGTTATTGTAAAGTTTTCCGAATACCAAATTTTGTTTTGGACATGGTTGTATTGTGATTCAAAATAATTATTTATTTCTTCATTTTTTTTTTTTATCTTTTTGGAGCTTTTACTATTTACAACTCTCTTGTAATTCAATATATAAGATCTTCACCATAGAAATAGCTTTTTGCGGAACCTAAATTTTTGTTTTCTTTGTATGGTATGTGATTGATTGCGTTGTTGATTTGTAACGTTAATCAATATTGTTTACTATACCAACGATATATATATATATATATACTTCATCAAATGAAATTTATTTTTCATAATTATATCATATATATATATATATATATATATATTAAATGGATAATACCAAGGGAGAGTAAAGAAGACCCTACATTTTACCTAACTCAGTCCGATATTGTAGACTTCTTGGTGTTTACAACTCTCTTGCAATTAAATATATAAAATCTTCACCATAGAGGTAGTTTTTTGCGAATCTAAATTTTTGTATTCTTTGTATGGTATGTGATTACTCTTCTATCATATTTATTGATGTTTAAATATTGAAAATACTCAGTAGTTAATTTGAACGCAATTGTTTGACTTTTCAAAAAATAAATAAAATAAAAATGCAAGTGAATCCCAAGTACAGGAATCCACATAGTTCTTCAGCCGCATACTATGAATAATTAAAATGTATGTCAATCCCAATTACAAGAATCCTCATTGTTCTTCATAGGAGGCAAATCCAAATCCATTTACAATTTCTTAGACTCTGTTTTCATTGATTATACCTTTTTTGAGTGTATCATTTAGTGATAGGTTTTATTTGGATTGAATTTAGGTTCGCTTTATTTTGTTTCCATATAAAATATTTTTTTTTGAAAATGAATTTTCTTTTTTACTTAAAAATTCTTTTTATTTTTATTTTTTCAATATTTATCAAAGGTTTAGGTCGAATTCATGGGACGGAGAGTTTAAAATAACTTATCCAAAATTAATATTTTTGTTAGTTTTAATTTTTTTTTCTTTGTAAATATTTTACGACAACCAAATAGTAAAAAATAAAAAAATATTATATGAAAAATATTTTACATCAACAGAGCCTTACATTTAAATAAAAATTACACATAATTATGAGATCCTACCCATTAATCACTAGCCACTTAACCAAGAAGGAATGAGCAGTCTTTGTTCGGATAAACCCACTAATCAACTAAGGTTTGGTTCGTTTTCAAATTCCATTTGTCCAGCAAATAAAGTATGGAAAATGATGTTCCAGTCAATTTGTGCTTGTAAAATATTATCAGTTATTTTAGTCAACAAATACTACAAAATAACTTTATTATATATACACATCAATAAAAGTTGGAACTATGATATGCTAAAATGCAAGTCCACATGAGCAAACATAGAGTCTCTTTGTAGCAGTGTAAGCTATCCTTAATTTTCAGCACTGCTTCATGATTTAGGAGCTCTAATTTGCCTTTCCATCATCCCAATATTTTATATAAAATTTGTATTTAAGCCAATGATTTTTCTTTGTACCAACTCAAGATATGTTTATTTGACTCTATGTGTGAACGAGCGAAAATCGTCAAAATAATTATATAAATAGGTATAATCTATGTAATTATCAAAAGTTATCAAAAGATTTCTCGTACTTTAATATCTAAATAAGTTATTTTTGTTAATTTTAATACCAACTAAAAATATGTGTACTGGACTGAAGCAAGTTATTTGTATAAAAAGGTATAATTCATGTAATTAAATAGGTATAAATTAAATAAGTACATTAAAATACAAAGTTTGTTGGTCCTATAGATAGATATAGGATGTATGGAATAATTAGGTAGAAGTACATTTTGTGCAATAGTGATTATGCATAAGTACTAGTTGCAGCCCCGGTGACACCCGGTTGCGAACCACCATAACTGGAAATGCCTCCAACTTCATGAATTTGGCCATACTCCTCCTCAACTACTACTGCCACAACTTCAGTTTCTTCAGCACACAGCGGAGGTGGCTCTTCGACGCAAGCAGCTGCTGCTGGGACCAGTATGGGCTTCTTTTTCTTCTTCTTCTTCTTAGTTAAGCAGAAGATGTCAACTACAAGGATTGCCAAGAAGAATAAACCACCAAGAGAGACACACACCACTATGACGGTTGTGTGGTTGTTGCCTCCTCCTCCTCCTCCTGGAGGCGGCGGTGGTATTGGAACGTTTGATGGTGATGGTGGGATTGAGTAGTTTGGTGTAGGTATTGTAGGAGGTGGTGCAGCAAGTGGTGGTCCTGGTGGTGTTGCTGGTCCCCATTTTGGCGGTGGTGCACCAACTGGTGGTGTTGTTGGTTGCCAATTTAGGGGTGGTGCAGCAAGTGGTGGCTGACCTGGTGGTGTTGGTGGTTGCAATTTTGGTGGTGGTGCAGCAAGTGGTGTTGGTGGTTGCACTTCTGGTGGTGGTGCAACAAGTAGTGGTTGACCTGGTGGTGTTGGTGGTTGCACTTTTGGTGGTGGTGCAGCAAGTGGTGGTTGACCTAGTGGTGTTGGTGGTTGCAACTTTGGTGGTGGTGCAGCTACTGGTGGTTGACCTGGTGGTGTTGGTGGTAGTGCAAGTGGTGGTTGCCATTTTGGTGGTGATCCGCTAGTTGGTGGTGGTGGTTGCCATTTTGGTGGTGATCCGCTAGTTGGTGGTGGTGGTCCGCTAGTTGGTGGTGGCAAGTGATGTGGTGGTGGTGGAACCAGACCACCACTAGGGTTTGGTGGCGAAGCAACGGGAGGTGGATGGACGCACTGCAGTTGCGCTGTGACACACGCAAGTAGTGGTGGCGGCTGCGCTGGTGGAGGAGGAGAATAGTATGGATAAGCTGTAGGGGTTCTTTTTTACTAGGTAATAAAATAGCAATAAAAAGAGATATCAGAAACACAAATACGAAGGAAAACAAAGGAGATGCTAAGTGTAGGAGGAGGAGAAGAAGACCAACTAACTAGATTAAGATGGTGGTAGGGCGAGTATACAGTATGACAGCTTTTCTTTTGTTCGGGAGAACTTGTTCTTTCTTCATAGGATAGTGCCATTTATAGATCAAGATTCCATTGGTCATCATCCAATGGTCCCCTCTATGCATGGTTCCAATCCGGATTACGTGAGTATCCTGAAGATTTAGGGGGCTGAAGGGTCTAATCCTTTCCTCGAGCCTTGTCCCATGTTGCCATGTCCCTTCTCCCCTAATCAGGGGCATTAAATGTTGCTTGGCCGTCGGTTGGTCAAGCCTGACACAGCATTAATTGTGATTTTAAGGTTTGCTATCACAATGTGTATAATCCCATCATCTTGTTAATTAGGCCTTACCGAGAGCGAAGGCACTTCTTGACTTCTCATCCACCAATCCAAGATCCTCCTAAGTTTCCCAAACATGGATTCCTATAACACAAAGATCCTACCTCATCTCGTGTTAAGGAGCTCCGATCTTTCAGGACAGCATCGTCTGGCGTAACACCAGGATTCGGGATACTTGAGATTTGATCTCTCGAGACTTGATGGGCCTGGTGTGGCGCCAGGATTTAGAATGCTCGAAGATTAGCTTCTCGAGGCTTACTGGGCCTGGGGCGATGCCAGGGCTCAGAGCGCTCGAGATTTGATCTTTCGAGACTTGAGGGCCTGGAGCGATGCCAGGGCTTAGAGTGCTCGAGATTTGATCTTTCGAGGCGTGAGGGCCTAGAGCGATGCCAGGACTTAGAGTGCTCGAGATTTGATCTTTCGAGCCTTGGGGGCCTAGAGCGATGCCAGGGTTTAGAGTGCTCGAGATTTGATCTTTCGAGGCTTGGGGGCCTGGAGTGATGCCAGGGCTTAGAGTGCTCGAGATTTGATCTTTCGAGGCTTGAGGGCCTGGAGCGATGCCAGGGCTTAAAGTGCTCGAGATTTGATCTTTCAAGGCTTGAGGGCCTGGAGCGATGCCAGGGCTTAAAGTGCTCGAGGCTTGAGGGCCTGGAGCGATGCCAGGGCTTAAAGTGCTCGAGATTTGATCTCTCGAGGCTTAAGGGCCTGGAGCGATGCCAGGGCTTAGAGTGCTCGAGATTTGATCTTTCGAGGCTTGAGGGCCTGGGGCGATGTCAGGGCCTAGAGTGCTCAAGGTTTGATCTTTCGAGGCTTTTGACTTTTCAACTTGCCACGGAGGGTTTAGCTAGGGTTGTATTGACTTGTTAACGTGCCACATCAGTGTCTGATAAGTGACACCCACATTTTGCCCCCTGCACGTGTGACGATTCAAAATGAATTATTGCATATGCAAGACTAGGCTTCTAGGTCATTTATTGTTTCGAGGAGGCGGAAGAGACGCGAGCATGAAAGGTCACCTCCAGTTATTAATGCGCCGTCTGTTACCGATTTGATTTTTGGGGGTTCCCGAGGCAAGAGGGCTATTAAAAGGGAAACAGTGACGAAGTAAAGGGTTACTTGTGAAAAGGACTTAAAAAGTACAGAGATTACCTGAACCTCCATCGTTGCCGAAGAAGAGATCTCTGACGACGGCCGCTTGATATACGCCAAAATAATGTAGTGAATGTGCGGTTCAAGAAAAGCCTTTTAGGTCAAATTTAAATTTATAAAACCCACTACCAACACTACTACTAACGTAGCAAAAGTGAGTAGGGATCGTCCCAAGGGATTATACGTGTTGGAATTTAACTTTGACTCTAATGTATCACAAGATTGCAAAGAGAGAGATTGATTGTTTAAACTAAGGTGTAATGAAATTAATATGCAAGTAAAGTAAAGTAGTTAGAGATAGGGATTTAAGAGATATGAAAAGAGGTCTTAGGGTGTTGGAATCACCACTAAGCTCATGTAATTAACCACTTGCTTTTCATTAATGGGGAATACATTATTGTGAACAAAATGCGACTACCAATTGCAATATTAAGCATGGACCATCTAATTTATGTTTGAATTGTCTACCTAAACTAAGTGTAGCACAACCTATCAATTTTAAGCACGACCCATCTAAGTAGCAACAATTGTAGCACACATCAATCTAGAGAATTATGGAATTTGCAATATTAAGCATGAACTATCTAATTTATGTAGGAATTGTCTACCTAAACTAAGTGTAGCACAACCCATCAATTTTAAGTATGACCCATCTAAGTAGCAACAATTGTAGCACACATCAATCTAAAGAATCATGGAATTTGCAATAATAACCCATGGAATATCTAAGCAAGCATAGATTGTCTACCTACCTACAAGCATGAATTAAATTGTAGAACAACCCATCAAGTATAAGTATAAACCATCAAATTAATTGACAAACCCATTCAATGAAACCCCATACTTAGCCATCACTAGATTTTCAATCAACCATACATAGACATGCAATTAATATAGAAAAACTAGTGTAGAGATTAATTCCCAAATAATCACACATAAGACAATATGTAATCAAATAGAGAATCAATAGAAAGAATTAATCCATATGAATCATGTAAGAAATAATTCCTAATTTAATGACACATAGACATGTAAATAAACTAGAGAATTAATAGGAAGAATTAAACCATAGAAATGATAGAAATATACCAAGATTCATGAAATTCACAAGGCTAGAGCACTAATCACAACAATATATATATAAATCCCCAAAAATAGAAATACAAGGGTTTAGATTACACAAGACTTAGGGCTCATCCAAGCCCTAAGTGTAGATCTAGCCAATCATGGAGGAGGTGGAAGTGGTCATGGATCCAAGCTCCAAATATGGCTCCATCTTCTTCTACCTCTTATTCTTCTTTGAAGCTCTAGAGATGGAGAGAGATTGGGTCTAGAGATGGGTTCTTGAGATGTGCCTCCACTTCCCTCTTTTCTTCTAACCCTAATCTCTAACTTTGCTAGAGAGAGAAATAAAAATTACAATGTAAAAATAAAAAGATAAAAAGCTTCTTTACAAATGGGTCTCTTCCATTTATATAGAAGGTCATTTTCTTAGTCACTAAGTCAGGAATATAGTCCTAAAAATATCTAATCCCGTACTATGTGATAGGTGGACTTTTGGGCGCACACGGAATAAGACAGCTCAGTGCCAGCAATGTTTAATCGATCAGAGAAAAAGTTGGATCGATCAGAGAAAAAGTTGGATCAATCCAACTTGGCAGTTTTTCAGCATTGGCCTTTTGCTCCAAATCAATCTCTTTTTGCTCCGGATCATCACTAAGACTTAGTTTGACTCCAAAAAGGCCTTAAGAATCCATTTTTAGCCCATTTTAACATTATTGACCTGAAATAGACAAAAACACGAATAAGTACTAAAACGGGTAAATAAGATAGATAAAGGTCCTAGAACATTCAAGCTTAAGGGGTTTAAAAGTGTACTTTTCTGCACTCATTACACCCCCAAACTTAAATATTGCTAGTCCCTAGCAATGAACTAGAAAGTAAAGGAATGAAATGAATAACTATACAACTATGAACTAAAAAACAATAAATGGATAAAGCCACTTTTATAGGGAACACGATTGCACTTAGCACATGCAACAAGCCTTTTAAACCCCTAGGTTACCCCTAGTGGACGAGTGAAGTCTCGTGAGGGTTTTCAGAAATGATATCCACAAACATTAAGCTCATTCTTTCAAAAGAGGTACCAATATTGCAAACAAGCATTGGGAGAAAACTACTTCAAGTATGCAATTTTTCAACCCTTTCTAAGCAATCTCCCAAAATCTCAACATCAAACAAGCAAGTATGGTCCTCCACACATCAAGACAATGATCATGCAAATCAAAACAACTCTAGAATCCTTTTTGAGTGGACCGGCATCAAATATGTTGCTATCTAAGCTAACTAAAGAATTAATCACATCCTTACCTTCAAACTAGCACACAAATCTAGTACCGATCATCAAGATAAAAAGTGGACCTTTTTATTAAAGCTTTATTGTTCTAGGTACGCTTATTTTTTTTTATTTTTTATTTTTATTTTTATTTATTTTTTATTTTTTCTAGGGATCAAAGATGGAAGCATGGTGCAATGTGTTGATCTATTAAGCTTTCTAGCGAGTCATGAGGTCGAGCGTTAGGTCAATGACTCCCAAACCAGATGGCTTTAGGGCATTAGGCGTTCAAACACCCCTACGGACTTACAAGCTCAAATCAACTAGGCCACGAATCAAGACAACCTCCATCTAATCATTTCCCACTTCTCACCTTTTGGGAGAAGTCCTCACTTTCTTTATTGCTTTTGCAACTTCTTTTTTTTTTTTTTTTTTTTTTTTTTTTTTTTTTTTTTTTAGCAAGTTCAATTATTAACCTAGAGTTTGTGCCCTCCACCTTTCGGCGCAAGAAGTTCAATGCTTGATAAGGCTAGAATCCCGGCTACTTAGTGAAAAGGGGTTGTTATCCACCTTTATCAAGAATGAAAGTTTTCAATGCACTACTAGCTCAATTGAGATATAACCAATTCAATAATCAATAAAGCATGTACCCCACAAATGAATGCTAGTGTGCGCCTGTGCTAGTGTAGAATTCTAGAATGAATCTCAAAACAATCACAAAATCAGGATGATGTGGACCACAAGTGCAAGCAAGATATCAATCTTTCGAAAAATTTACTCCCAAATGGCATCCACAAGGCATACAAGGAGTATTGGACTTCAAGTCAAACAATTTTTAAATTTTAAGCAATATAGTCCACAAAAGATCAAAATCATAGCAAACATCAATCCCAAATCTCAATCATTCAATTAAAACGCAACTTTAAGTAGAATGCAACAAGACACGTTACCCCCAAACTTAAACCGCGCATTGTCCTCAATGTGCAATGAGAACAATGGAAAAAATGAAAAGAGTATACCGTGGTGGTGTAGACATGAAGCCCAGTCATGATCCAATTCGAAAGACGTCTCCCCCAAACTTGGAATCAACAACCTATTTGAATAATCCACATTAGCAAACTCACATCAAATATCAAATGAGATAAGAATAATCAAGCATTCTAAGGCAATATAGCACAAGGTGAAAGAGAGATATGAGATCAAGCCCAAACTAAAGCATAAAGTATGCATGACTACACATAAGGGCGCAATGGTGAATCTTTTTATATTTTTCATTTAATTAAAGCTAGTATATACAAAATGCAAGAAAAACAAAGAATAAAATGCATGAACAAAATATAAAAAGAAAAATAAAGAAGGTAAAATGCAATGAAAGAATATGTACAATGCAAAAAATGAAAAATAATATGTACAATGTAAGTATATATAAAATTTTCTTACTTTTTGTTTTTCATTTTTTTTTTAATGAAAAATAAAATAAAATAAACTAAATAAAATAAAACAAATATTTTTGGGATTTTTGAAATATAAACAAAAATAAAAATAAAAGTAAAAGTAAAAATAAATTTTCAAAACCTACAGAGATGTTCGATCGATCTGACAAAATGCTCGATTGATCTGACAGAGAGGTGAAAATATGCAGGTTTTTGGGTTCAAAAATTTTCTAAGTGTTGGAACTTAAGATCGATCCAATAATAAAGTTGGATCGATCGAAGAACTTCAGATCGATCTTGAAATATTTTCGATCGATGGGACAGAGAGCTTAATTATGCAGGTTTATGCAGGCTCAAAATTTTTCTAAGTGTTGAAACTCAAGATCGATCAAACTTGATGTTTGGATCGATCGAAGGTCTTCTGATCGATCTAATTGAGAACTGTGATCTGAAGATTTTCTTGGATCAATGAGACAGAGAGTGATTTGGATGCAAGTTTGCTGCAGGAATGAAGTTCGATCGATCGAACTCTCATTTGAGATCGATCGAACTTATGCAAAATGCTCAATTTCAACATGAAAGTGCATGCAATCCTTATCACAATTCCTAGCAATGTATATGAACCCAAAGCCAATATCTAGAGTTCGCAAGAAATGAAAAACAAAAAGAAATGAGGGAGGAATAGAGTTGTGAAACTCTACGAATACTAGTGTTTAACATTTCTAACAAGACGTTAGGTCAACTCACTAATCAAACGAATCAAAAACTGGATATGAAACATCCTTATTGACCCTCTTTTGCATTTTCTCATTTGATGCCTCACTTATGACAATGAAATCATCTTATAAAAGAATGACTTGAAAAGAAATGAAAGAGTTGATTTCATTCCTTTCATCCACGGTCTTGAAAACAAAATCAATCATGGTTAGCCTTACCTCAATTTTGTGCACTTGAAGTGTATTTAAAGAATCACTTCCTTTGTGAACTGGCAAGTCAATGTCTTTCAAAGACTCATTTGGAATATCAAGGATCACCTTCTCTTCATCCTTTTTCTCCTCCTCAAAAATCACCATCTCTTCACCTTCCAAGTAAGCTAAGGAGTCCATTAAAGAGTTTATTTCATTTTTGGAGCTTTCAAAGTCAAAACCACAATTTTTATACATTTCAAAAAGGCATTCCTCAAGAGGGTCATTAGAGATAATAGAAGGAAGGCCCTTTTCAACAAGTTCCTCCTCCTTCTCTTC